ACGAACTACACTACACATCATATACAGTGCATTCGGAAAGTATTCAGACCCCTTGACTTTGTCCATATTTTGTTACGTTACAGCCTTATTCTAAAATGGCTTAAATAATTTTTTTCCCTCATCAATCTATACACAATACCCCATAATGACAAAGCAAAAACAGGTTTCTATACATTTTTGTACATTTATTTATATATAAACAGATCACATTTGCATAAGTATTCAGACCCTTTACTAAATACTTTGAAGCACCTTTGGCAGCGATTACAGCCTCGAGTCTTCTTGGGTATGACGCTACAAGCTTGGCACACCTGTATTTGGGGAGTTATTCCCATTATTTTCTGCAGATCATCTCAAGCTCTGTCAGGTTGGATGGGGAGCGTCGCTGCACAGCTATTTTCAGGGGTCTCCAGAGATGTTAGATCGGATTCAAATCCGGGCTCTGGCTGGGCCACTCAAGGACATTCAGAGACTTGTCCCCAAGCCACTCCTGCGTTGTCTTGGCTGTGTGCTTAAGGTCATTGTCCTGTTGGAAGGTGAACCTTCGCCCCAGTCTGAGGTCCTGAGCGCTCTGGAGCAGGTTTTCATCAAGGATCTCCCTGTACTTTGCGCTGTTCATCTTTCCCTCAATCCTGACTGGTCTCCCAGTCCCTGCCGCTGAAAAACACCCCCGCAGCATGATACTGCCACTACCATGCTTCACCGTAGGGTGGTGCCAGGTTTCCTCCAGATGTGACGCTTGGCATTCAGGCCAAAGAGTTCAATCTTGGTTTCATCAGACCAGATAATCTTGTTTCTCATGGTCTGAGAGTCTTTAGGTGCCTTTTGGCAAACTCCAAGCGGGCTATCATGTGCCTTTTACTGAGGAGTGGCTTCCATCTGGCCACTCTACCATAAAGGCCTGATTTGGTGGAGTGCTGCAGAGATGGTTGTCCTTCTGGAAGTTTCTCCCATCTCCACAGAGGAACTGGAGCTCTGTCAGAGTGACCATCGGGTTCTTGGTCACCTCCCTGACCAAGGCCCTTTTCCCCAGATTGCTCAGTTTGGCCAGCGGCCAGCTCTAGGAAGAGTCTTGGTGGTTCCAAACTTCTTCCATTTAAGAATGATGGAGGCCACAGTCTTCTTGGGGACCTTCAATGCTGCATACATTTTTGGTACCCTTCCCCAGATCTGTGCCTCAACACAATCCTGTCTCGGAGCTCTATGGACAATTCCTTCGACCTCATGGCTTGGTTTTTGCTCTGACATGCACTGTCATCTGTGTGACCTTTATATAAACAGGTGTGTGTGCCTTTCCAAATCATGTCCAATCAATTGAATTTACCACAGGTGGTACATTTCTAAAAACCTGTTTTCGCTTTGTCATTATGGGGTATTGTGTGTAGATTAATGAGGAAGGCTGTAACGAAAACAAAATGTGGAAAAAGTCAAGGGGTCTGAATACTTTCCAAATGCACTGTATATCTGTCCTCATTGCTCCATACTCCACAGGCTATGTGTATCATTTAGACTGCCAGAGGACTCTCGCGCCAGTTGAAATTAAAGGCATGCCTGTATAAACTACAAAACAAAATGGCCAGTATCATTGCTTGGCTCTACTACTAACAATATTCACATGGAGCGTTTTATTTTTTACCTTTAAAAAAAGAGGCATGAAAACCTTGCCGTTTCAGGGGATTTTTGTGTTCAACATAACTGAGTAGAATGTGTTGTGTACCGTCCCTACTTTAAGATAATGTAATTGCTTATTTAACCGAGTTGATGGTTTGCACTGTTCCAGAAGCAGATTAGTTTGGATTGACTTTAGATATGCTTTGATATAAAATAACATGAACTCCTACAAACTCTATTTCCTTTTCCACAAATATTAGAAGTATCCTGGATGTTGACAAGAAGACGGTCTCAGAGGACACTGTGAGGCTTCAATCACACAATATGTTCAGCACAGCAAAGGTGGATTTCGAGTCTATGGATTGGGCCTTGTCAACATCAGCTGTGAAAGACTTAGACCAGATGGCAGTCAACTGACTGCTGATGAGTGTGTGTGAACATTATAATCAAGGTGTTGTCTGTCTCGTACACCTCGCTAGTTGCTATCCTCTAATCCTCGATTGCATAACATAGGTGACTCCTCACATCTGGCTCTGAAATAGGGCATCTCCAGTACTGAAATAGGGCATCTCCAGTACTGAAATAGGGGATCGCCAGTACTGAAATAGGGCATCTCCAGTACTGAAATAGGGGATCGCCAGTACTGAAATAGGGGATCGCCAGTACAAAAACAATACTCAAACCTGGCTGTGTCTTGGAACTGGCTGACTCATCTGTTGAACTCCCTGTGCTCAAATATTTTATCATCTTCTAAATAATGTTGTTGTTTATCTAACAAACTATTTTGTTCTTATCATGTAATACTGCTCCTTCCCACCAACTCTCTTCCCTTTCAACCCCTGAAAAGTTAAGACATGAAACAGAGGACGTCATTACTGCTGGTCAGTATTGGAGGCAGTCCAAGGTCAGTCCATTAGCCCAGCTGAACCCTCCTGCCCCTGAACCATGCTGCCCCACTGCGTTGTGCGTACTCAGTTGTGCTGTCTCCTTTTCTAGAGGATGTTCCTCTATGGAAGCAGAGCTGTGTGACTGGGGTTGGTCACATGGTCAGACCCTGGGAGGTTATGGTTCATAGGCTAGCTGTGACAACAACCCCAGGCTGCATTCTCCCCAGAATGCTCTCTGTTGGTCACAAGCACAACTAGTACTCCTTCCCTTGGTCTAGTCTATACTGGTCCCCAGTCTCTCTCTTATCATCCCCTAGTCTTAATCGACTGTGTGTGGTGTGTCTGTGTGTTTGTGTTGTAGATGTCTTTGTATTGGTGGTGGGGGTTTTCAGTCACACATAGTCTCCCTTGGTATTGGTGGTGGGGGTTTTCAGTCACACAGTCACACATTGTGGGGGTTTTCAGTCACACATTGTCTCTGTATCTCTGAAGTGTTATTTCTCTGTGAAGCAGGGAACATTTACTCAGAGATGACCGAGGAAATGAAGAGGCAGATTGGATCTCTCTCTCAATTCAAAGGACTTTATTGGCATGGGAAACATGTTTACATTACACTGACGAACACTGTGGAATGTTTCAACTCACTAAAATAATACTTACAATGTTTATTATATCTTCAGTTGAGAGAAGGTTCAGTTTCTCAGACAATGTGTTGTCTAGTAGTTTAGCTAGTCTGGAGTGGGCCTGTCTGTTGCTCTGTTTGGTACAAGCGTTGCCAGGGGAACGGGGAAGCCAGTTGGAATGTACGTTTATTTATAACTGTCAAGGGTTTGTAAATTGTTGAAATAAACTAATTAAACTAATGTAATCAAATGTTTTTGTGGCACAGAGAAAGGCCTGCAGTTTGGAGTTCAACATATGATATTCTCACAGCTGGAGTAATGAAGTTGCCATGTGTTTATTTATTATTGAAGAAGATTTCAGATACAAAAGGCACATTTTTTTATCTCACACAAGGAACATTTGGTTCTTATTGAACAAGTTTTTGTGCAATATGTTTCCCCACTCATGCAACATTGACGTGGATGGGGTAGACTCAGGCTGAGTTGAATAGCTTCAAGCTATTGGGACAGGGCCTTGGACTTCAGCAGGGATGTAACTGTAGATGTTAAGTAACAGCAGACACAGGAGGCTCCCAGCAGCTTATGTCACACCAGGAAGTGGAGTCCAGTACGCACTGCAGCTGCTAATTCCCATGAGACAGTACCGCCTCTGGGTTTTCTCAGCTGGGTTTATATTTATTCCCTGACTGCCTCATATATTTGTACTACGCTGCTGGGTGTAATGATTCAAAGTTTTAGTATTGTAACTTATTTTCCTTTCGTTCACTGTTTCTGTTGGTTGTTCCCTGTTCTTATAATCATCACATCCAGACTTAAGATAATATGGAAATAAACAAGTCAATCATAAGATATTGTATTTGAGAATTCTTTATTAAGACCACCCCCGAGCCATGGATGTAGATTTTCACAAATAATAGCCATTCTGAGCTCTAAGCTCATCAGGTCCTTGACAGAGTTGGCAGAAAGCCATATAGGCCGAGGAGGTAATTGCCTTATTAACGGAGTAACTAGTTTTGCATGTGCGGTCGAACTCCAAATTGCCTCCACATCCTGTTTAGCCATTCCGTGGGGCCAGGGGTTAAGACTAGCTGTCACTGACCCGCTGATGGCTTCCTCCTGCTGGGTCGGCATGGCGGGTCTGAGGCTATCCTGCTGGGAGCTCCAGACCAGAGCTAGCTCCAGCTCCAGGCAGTCCCCTCCAGTAATCTGCCCCAGGCACAGGCTGCTTATCTCAGCCTCTTCCTGTGCCATGGCAGGGTGGTGTCACTGAGGGAATTGTAGTAGCGATAGACTGGTAGGCTGAGACCATCCCTGATCTCTCCTTATATAGAGAGCAGGGTTATGGAAGTGGTTGTTGCCCTCAGTGGAGATGCACACAGATGAGTTACAGTAAATAGGGATGAATGAAATGCAGTGCCTGATTGAATCTACATTGTACATAGTCTAAACTGACTGTGGTCTCATTATTAGTTGCCCAAATCCCTGGAAGGCTTCCCTCTATAATATAGTTAATTATCTCCCTCTGCTCCATAGTAAATGACTCTCTCCCTCTACTCCATAGTAAATGACTCTCTCCCTCTACTCCATAGTAAATGACTCTCTCCCTCTGCTCCATAGTAAATGACTCTCTCCCTCTGCTCCATAGTAAATGACTCTCTCCCTCTGCTCCAAAGTAAATGACTCTCTCCCTCTGCTCCATAGTAAATGACTCTCTCCCTCTGCTCCATAGTAAATGACTCTCTCCCTCTGCTCCATAGTAAATGACTCTCTCCCTCTGCTCCATAGTAAATGACTCTCTCCCTCTGCTCCATAGTAAATTACTCTCTCCCTCTGCTCCATAGTAAATTACTCTCTCCCTCCCAGCAGCGACTGCAGCATCATGGCCTCTGGACCATCAGATGTGTTGACCAACCAGGATCCAGCAGACACAACAGAAGAGTGCACAGGTAAACCCACACTTGAAATGCCTTTGCTAGCCTTTTAAAGAGGCTCTTCACTATTCTCTGGTCATGGGGAACTCTGTCTGTCTGTGGTAGTGCTATGGTGAATGTGTAACGGCAGATCCTATCTGATCAGATTTACAGTATCTAATCTGTAGGAAGGGAATGGCAACACTACTTCCTTGTTTATGTTGATCAACGCCTCCTCTGAAGATTTGTGTCTGCGAAGCCTTGGGGTTCATTGCAAGTTGAAGTGAGATGATTTTATCATGGTGAGAATCCCTCCACAAGATCAATGCTAAAGTATCAGTGTTTCTTCTAGACCAGTGTGCTATTATCTCTCTTGCGGAAAGCACTGGGCTTCAGGGAGGATCAGGTCAAGCTTAAGAAGGAGATTTTCTTACAGTTTTATTGGCAGGAAATGAAGTACAAAAAATATATCTCATCAGCTCCCATCATCTCCCATAAGAACATATTTTTCCACAGTCTGTCTTCCAACCCTTCACCCTGCTGTGATGCGCTCTGGGAACAAGGAAGTCAGGGACTGCAAGGTCAGGCTGGGCACCGTCTCCGGAGGGCTAGCCGGGACGTGGATTAGCCCTATCCTTCAGGAATAGGTCCAACTGACAAGGGGAATAATCTCTATCGGATTGAACTTCTAAAGCAGAGCACGGAGGGCGAAGTCCATTAAAATTAATAATTTGTCAGTGGCTGGAGGTGTGCTGGCGGGCCAGGGGATAATTTGGCATACCCTGATGGGCAGCTGCCCCATGGCAGTATCCTCGTGGCGGCCTGAGAGGGTAGTGGGGGAGAGGGGGGAATTTTCCAAGGAGTTAATCTGCAGTCAAGATAATAGTTATATGTGTACTACAGACTAGATCGTTCTTGGTCATGACTCTTCAAAGATTTTTAGATTTATAATACACAGTTTTATTAGGTACACCCATTTAGTACCGCGTCGGACCACACTTTGCCTCTAGAACAGCCTGAATTCTTCGGGGAATAGATTCTATAAGGTGTCGGAAACGTTAGTTGCTGATTTGGTATCAAGAGACCTAACGTGTGCCAGGAAAACATTCCCCACACCAGTACACCACCGCCACCAGCCTGTACGAGGCAGGATGGGTACATGGATTCATGCTGCTTATGCCAAATCCTGACTCTGCCATCAGCTTGACGCAACAGGAACCTGAATTCGTCGGACCAGGCAATGTTTTTATACTCCTCAATTGTCCAGTGTTGGTGATCGCATGCCCACTGGAGACACTTCTTGTTTTTAGTTGATAGGAGTTGAACCTGTTGTGATCGTCTGCGGTAATAGCAATCCGTGACGAGGACTGACAAGTTGTGCGTTCCGAGATGCCGTTCTGCACACCACTGTTGTACTGCGCTGTTATTTGTCTGTTTGTGGCCCGCCTGTTAGCTTGCATGATTCTTGCCATTCTCCTTCCACCTCTCTCATCAAGGAGCTGTGTTTTGTTTGTCGCACCGTCTCTGTAAACCCTAGACACTGTCGCGCGTGAAAGGTCACTCGTTTTGCCCATTCTAATGTTCAATCGAACAGTGACTGGATGCCTGTCTGCCTGCTTTATATAGCAAGCCACGGCCTCGTGACTCACTGTGTAGGAGCGATACGTTTTCATGAACGGGGTGGTGTACCTAATAATAAACTGGGCAGTGAGTGTATATGATAATATATGCCAATTAGCAGACGCCTTTATCCAAAGTGACTTAGTCATGCGTGCATACATTTTACATATGGGTGGTCCCGGGAATAGACCCCCTACCCTGGCGTTACAAGCGCCATGCTCTACCAACTGAGCTACAAAGGACCACGTTTACCTGGGATAACAGTTTGTAATAGGTTTAACATCAGCTCAAGGGGAGTAAGTTGTGGTTGGTTACGGCAGTGCTCTCCAGATCAACAAGGATATTCAGTGGGACAGAACATTTCTGTTTCTGACTGTTTATCTCCTGGTCATGCGTCTCCTTCATGTATCCCATCTAGGCCTACATTTAGCCTGTTTGCCAAAAAGACCCTCTCTGGACAAAAATGTCTTCAAGTTTACATTCTCAGCTATTTGAACAGTATGTATCCAAGTATGTAGTACCTCTCCTACTGGGATGGAGTTTTCCATTGATTGTTGACTTCTCCAGCCAAACTGAATGGGCCAATTTAAAGTGTTGATCATGCCAGCTCTAGGCCTTGTCTACAATTGGATCTCAAGTGTTTTCCAGAGTATGTGAGCCAGTCACGAGATTGTGTGGCTTTATATATAAATATAGTCTCTCACTAGCAAGCTTCACTCCTCCAAGGCAGAGCTCACTCTTTAATCAGATGATTACATTCCTGGCTGCTAAAGGTCTCCATCCTAGGATTTTTCACGTTGCAGTCATCCCCTCCCAAATATTGGCAACATTTCTATGGATCCAACTAACTTGACCTTCTCTTTTAAGAATTGGCCATTCTGCTTTGTTTCTGGTTCTGCTGCTACTTTGGTGTAATTGACATATTGTTTCTAAAATAGCTTGATGTATTAATGAACTGTAGGCACCACCCAGCTCACTCCAGCAAATGTCTCAGATCTCGGTCTGCTATTATTCTCAACAAAGGTTTAGGGAGAGGGAGTTTTCACTCACAAAAAAGCGCTTGAAGTAGTTAAAAAGAGGTGTTGAGAATTTCCACTGTGGTGCTAATGTAAATGGAACAATGGGAGTATTTTACTATCTCATTAATGCTACCTGGGTTTATGACCAACAGGGTAAATTACTCTCACTTTACTTGAGTTCACATGAGGGAATAGTTACATTTCAAATAATGATAGAGGTTCGTTACAAAGCTTTGTTAGGTGATCTTCTTTGTTCAGTGGTGAAAAGACGTGAAAGAATATGGTTAAAAACTGGTGTAAAAGGTAGTGAAGGAATAGGTCCCATTGTTAACTGGAGATGAATAACCTCTGCCATGCTCTATTCTTGATGTGATCTTCATTGTAGGCAAGAAGAAGTCCAAGTTCCAGACCTTCAAGAACTTATTTGCTAAGAAGAAGAGAAAGGAGGCCGCTGCTCCTGCCGGGGAGGACAGTGGGTTGAAGTGTAGCCATTCTAGTGACAATGTCAACGCCCCCAAACCTACACTTCTCATCCGCTCTGAGAAAGACAAGGGCTCTGGGTAAGATGATATTATTTTCACAATACAAGCAATTTAATTTGATTCCCAAGGAACAAATGCGTCATTTAATTTCTACCGGGTAGCGTGAAGTCTCCTCTACGTATGTATACAACTTTAAAGGTACATATTTGTTCTAATTTAGAGTGGACTGCTAGGAATTAACGTTCTGCATACCGCTTAGTCACCTGAATAATAAACCAAGTCTTCTCCGCTCATTTTAGATCTTAGTGAATTTTCATTCATTAAGCATGCAGCATTATAGGCTACCTGCTGCAGATGTCTTCCCCAGGGCTTGCGTTCCAAATGGCTCCCTATTTAGTGCACAACTTTTGACCAGGGTCCATAGGGTTCTGGTCAAACGTAGTGCACTATACATGGAGTAGGGTGCCATTTGGGACACAGTCAGGGCTAGTGACTTGTCATTACTGCTCCTTTAGGTTTTTCTACAAACTTGATTAGATTTAGTCCTACATGATTGAATGGAGACGACTCAGCCACTGCCTAACTGCTAATGCCTAGGAGCTCAGATGTTCTGATCAGTCATTTAACATGATGTCTCATACTCAGTTGTTCTATTTCTTTCTTTCAAAGGCCCAAAATAAATATGGGGAATAAGACTCTGTCACATGACAGTGTCTTTGTCTCTGAATCTCCCCTGTCAGAGGTGACTGAGGGTCTTGGAGTCTCTCAGGACAGCATCCATGGGAAAGTCAAGTCTCTACAGGTGGGTAGTAGATCCTCTGTCCTATTCCTCCATACTGGGACTGGCTGGAAAATGACCTGTTGTAGCTATAATTCTATACTTTACACCCACAACGTGTGAAAACAATGTGTCTCCATAGCTCATGTTACTATCTCCTAAATTCAGCTCTCTTCATCGGTATTAGCATTGGCACTCTGTCTGTACAACCTGGGTATAAAATTAGCCAGTCTGGTCATAAGCCGGTTAGACTGGGCGCTAGCGAAGGCTCATCCTTAGTTGTCACTACCTGTTCTGGACAGAATCCCACAGAGGGTCAGAGTGTACGTACAGAAGTCTGAAGCATAATACAGCTAGTGTTGACTAGGCACAACAACATGCTAGAACAAGGAGGAGATAATCGAGAGAGAGACTTGGCTGGTGTTGTTCAGCCATTTGGAGAAGAATGGGGATTCTAAAGCCTTGGAGGAGACAGACCTGAGACTGTGTCCTTGGGAGCAGCTGAGCTCATACTGATAGAGTATATTCCGTTTGTGTATCTGTGGTACCGCTTTCTTTCACCACGCAAAGTCTATTTCTCAGCTAGAGTGGACCTATTGCTTCTTAACTCACTTTCACTTATCATTCCACTTTGAGAAGAGTTCTCTACAACTGGGTTGGATAGCATGGTCTCGGAGAATACTTGATCTGACAGGAAAAGTGTGGTCTCAGAGAACACTTGGTCTGACAGGAAAAGCGTTGTCTCAGAGAACACTTGGTCTGACAGGAAAAGCGTTGTCTCAGAGAACACTTGGTCTGACAGGAAAAGCGTGGTCTCAGAGAATACTTGGTCTGACAGGAAAAGCGTGGTCTCAGAGAATACTTGGTCTGACAGGAAAAGCGTGGTCTCAGAGACACTTGGTCTGACAGGAAAAGCGTGGTCTCAGAGAATACTTGGTCTGACAGGAAAAGCGTGGTCTCAGAGACACTTGGTCTGACAGGAAAAGCCACTCTGCTTAGTGTACTAATCCTGCACACACATCATGATAGCCACTCCCTATTAACACAAAAGTACTGGAAACACTTGAAAATAGCTGATAGGAGTGGTTGATAAGTATGTTATTCCCCTGCAGCTCCAGCTGAAACAATCAGGCTCTCCTCCGTCTCTGATGAAACAGGCCATCAGGCTCTCCTCTGTCTCTGATGAAACAGGCCATCAGGCTCTCATCCGCCTCTGTTGAAACAGGCCATCAGGCTGTCCTCTGTCTCTGTTGAAACAGGCCATCAGGCTCTCCTCTGTCTCTGATGAAACAGGCCATCAGGCTCTCCTCTGTCTCTGTTGAAACAGGCCATCAGGCTCTCCTCTGTCTCTGATGAAACAGGTCATCAGGCTCTCCTCTGTCTCTGATGAAACAGGTCATCAGGCTAGGTTCTCCTCCGTCTCTGTGTGTGAAGAAGATGGATGATGCAGGGACTCTTTCGGAGGATGACGGCCTACCCTGCAGCCCACCAGAGTACTCCACCCTGCACACTGTCCTGGCTGGGGTGTCCCACAGGGTACGCATCATTATGCAGTCAGGACTCGCATAGTATTCATGGGGTCTATGGGGTCAACTTCATGTTAGCGATCATTGCACGCACCAGATTAGCTACATAGCTAATTCTCATCTTCAGTCCCTATTATGATTATAATTGTGTGGTATGTGCTATGTGACTGCAGTCACACGATCCCTGTCACATACAATACATACCACACATTCATGTTTCATGAAAGCTACCATGAGGATGACTCCATGCATTCATGCTTACTTCTACAGCACAGGAGGCTGGTGAGGGGAGGACGGCTCATAATAATGCCTGGAATGGAATGGTATTAAAACATATGGAAACCATGTGTTTGATACCATTCCAGTAATTCCGTTCCAGCCATTACAATGAGCCCGTCCTCCCCAATTAAGGTGCTTCCAACCACCTGTGGTCTACTGATCTATTACTGCCGATCACCCTCTTTCTAACTGCATTGTCACTCATCCTGTCTGTGTCTCATTCCAGTCTTCCAAACTGGTGCAGAGGAACCGCTCCCTGAGTCTGGAAGGGACCGACAGCGATGAAGACCAGGTAATAACCAGTTATCCATGTCTCCAGTATGCTACTTTGTTATTGCAGTCATGTGCTTCCTGTTCAGTGGACATGGTGAACAATCCTCCTGGTCATTTGATCACCATGACCAATCAGAAGTTGAGTGGGTTATATTGTCATTTGATTTTAAGAATAATAAATTAATGTCCCCCAGACGTATTACATGAGTTGATGTCTTAGAGTACATCTTTCTTTTGATGACGTATGAAGCTGTGTGTCTTTTGATGAAGTATGAAAGCTTCCATGTCAGATGCGGTGTTGAGCAATAGGAGTGAATCAGGATGGAGACATTGTTGAGCTGTATACATCCACAATATGTAGACCAGGGATGGGCAACTGGTGGCCCGCGGTGCAATTTCGAAATTTGGTTGTGCATCAGCAGTCACTCAATTAGCCCATGTCAGAAGGAAAATGTAGATTGGTAAGTTAGTCTAGCGGCCAGCTATCTAAACTTGTAGTAAGCATGGTCAAATTACCAACTGGGGTGGGGTCCATTGATCATAGTTATCATGTGAAAAACTGCAAATATTTGCCTCCACTATAACTATGGCAAAATGAGTAGAATTGCATGAAATGAGTTATACAATTGTTAAATCTCTCTGCCCCATGGCAAAATGTGCAGAATTGCAGAAAACTAAATTGTATTTATTTATTTGAGGCTCAGAGCAGCTTGTGCAGGCCATATTTACACCATACATGTACACAATGGTTTGTTTTGTTATACATATCAGAATTTAAGATCCTTAGAAACTGCTCTTTTCTGCCTCTCTCTCTCTCTCTCTCTCTCTCTCTGACTGATTTGGTAAAAGAGTCACATGATCAAATTACTGGAAGTGATTAATGAGCCGTGGTACATGCTGTGTGAAGTGTAGCTCCCTCAGCACGTACGTTAGCGTTATTATCTTAGCTGGCACGCTTACATTCCGCACAATGGGACCATTGGATGGAATAGACACTTGGCTAGTTTCTATGAATGCTGATTGAATCTTTTAAGGCTTTCTCAAATGAACAGGATTGTAAGGAATCTGCCAAGAGACTCCAAATAATCCTTTGAAGTTGTGAAAGGAGTGTCCTAAAAGGGAGACTACAATTTGGCATTTGGTTGACTTAAAAAGGCTTACACGGCCCTCAAATAGCACGTAGCTTCTATTGTTTTTCTATCAATGATGGTAGACCATCTTTCTCAATCAGCTGTCTTTTCCACATAGCCATGAGTTTAACAGGAGGTCAGAAGGGTACCTAACTCCATTCAGCATTTTAAAATCCAATTTTGTTTGTCACGTGCTTTGTAAACAACAAGTGTAGACTAACAGTGAAATGCTTACGGGCCCTTCCTAACAATGTAGAGAGAAGAAAATTGAAATAATAGAAAAATAATAACACGAGGAATAAATACACAATGAGTAAGGATTTACTATATACACGGGGTACCAGTACCAGTCGATGTGCAGGGAGGGGCACGAGGTAGTTGAGGTAGATATGTACATATAGGTGGGGATAAAGTCTAAACTGCTGTCTTGTGGGATGTCAGGAAGATAGGGGACAGTCCCATAGGCACGTAGAACTGGGGTACTATCTTACCAAGGTGTGATTTTCAGTAGTTGCTGTCTGTTCAACCTCAATGACAAGCAAACACACACACATACACAGATGCACTAGTTTGTGCCTGAACCTCCAAATAGTTGTCATGTGCTTGTGTTTTGCCTCGTTTGTGATGCTTCAGCTGGACCCAGAGCTGTAACAAGCTAGAAGATGGTTTTTCAAGCCATGAAAGGGAGTGTGCTGTTGGTTTTGGGGGGAGGGGGGGTTGCTCTTGAGTCTCCTGTGTGGTCTGAATTAATTCCAATGGTTTTCTCTGGCATTCAGGGTGTTTGCTACAAATGGGGACATAACACAAATCACAGTCAGGGGGCCCTGCCAAGCTGAGCTCTGGTTATAGAGTCTGGCTATAGAACAAACACAATACATTTAATTTACTATATCTAATGATCTAATCCACTCTACTGGATACAATACCAAACACAATACATTGCATTTACTTATCTAATCCACTCTGCTGGATACAATACCAAACACAATACATTGCATTTACTTATCTAATCCACTCTGCTGGATACAATACCAAACACAATACATTGCATTTACTTATCTAATCCACTCTGCTGGATACAATACCAAACACAATACATTGCATTTACTTATCTAATCCACTCTGCTGGATACAATACCAAACACAATACATTGCATTTACTTATCTAATCCACTCTGCTGGATACAATACCAAACACAATACATTGCATTTACTTATCTAATCCACTCTTCTGGATACAATACCAAACACAATACATTTAATTTACTATATATAATGATCTAACCCACTCTGCTGGATACAATACCAAATACAATACATTTAATGTACTATATTTACATTTACATTTACGTCATTTAGCAGACGCTCTTATCCAGAGCGACTTACAAATAGGACTATATCTAATGATCTAACCTACTCTGCTGGATACATTACCAACACAGAGGTAGTTTCACTTATGACTACCTGTCTCTGGTTGCACAGGGCAAATACACTGTGATGCCCATAATGGGAGCAATCCTATTTGGTAATATGTTTGTGTTAAATCTGTATAGTATATGCCAGATAGCTATTTATCCTAAGCATCCATTTTTTGTATGAAAGCAAGATGTTAGCTCAGAGGTGGCCCATTGGCGTCTTCTTTTGAGCTCACTATTCCTCATTTTAGGGTAGACAGGTTGTCATTGCAGATCACTTAAAGTAAGTCAGGGTGTCGCTGAAGGTCATTCGCCCTCCTGTCTCCTGTCCATCTCTTTACCTTTTAGGGTGAATTGCTGTCAGAAACAGTAGGTTAGACCTACATTCCAGTGGGCTGAGAGTGGAGGCCTGTATTCAGCTAATGTAAGGGGGAGCCAGGCAAAAAAATGCCAGGATGTAGGTCTGCCTGGGACTTCAGCGGCTGGGTATTTTTAGCTGCTGAGAGGTCTTGATAATGGCGTCCCTGACATTGTTTATCCAGCTGTTTAGACAGTCAGTCCTCCCTCTGTTTGTCTGAATGCTTTTCCTTTGTCTTGAGTAGGAGACTGAGCCATGTCTCAGGATAGGGTTCATCTGTATCAGGTGAACAGCAAAACAGCATTCTTGAATCTGTTTAGCTGGTATCTGGCATCAGCAGAAAGTTCTGACGTGTGTGGACAGATGTCTGAAGACATTGAGGTTGTAATAATTGTATTTATTTGCTGTGTCAACATGGCCTCTCTCATGTGTAGATGTCCTGTGAGGCAGGCTCCAGATCGGTCAGTCCCCTGGTCCTCCTGCCTGTAGACTTCAGCCAGCCTGCCAGTCCCATGGGCTGCCTGGACAACACTGCCGCTCGCCACCGCCTAGATGTCCGACACAAGGCCTGCACCAAGACGAGGAGGCCCACCACTGTAAGATATACCCATCCCAACACAACCATCCGCTTCACTCCACTTACCTAGCCAACACACCCCCAACACCCCCTGTTCCATGCCTAGCCTAACTCTCTGATCACTAGAGCAGAACCCCTCCAAAAATCTATCCAATAAGCCAAGAGAGTCCAGCCCATGTAGCCCAACCACAACGCACCAGCCTGCCGTCAGCGTGCATGGCTCATGAGTCTACCAGATCTGTGTAAAACATGTCCCATATGACTGAAGCTGGAAAGCTTAATGATCTTTAAATGAACTGTATCGTTAAGATGAAATGACTCTTCTCTGTTCAGAGGGTTGATGGCAGGGCTGAGGGAGAATCATTCCAGGAGGAAAGACTGAATGTTGTCATTCCAGAATCTGTGGAGGAGGAGGAGCAAGGTAATATTAATTATCCTTATCACAGTAACAATACACAGATATATACGAAAGCGTAAATATTGGTAAAATATGGGAAAGATAATCATTCTTACTCAATACATTGACTGATAATAAGATGATAATGATATAGGGACTTAGTGGGGCTCTGCTCTGACGTAGTTATGTATGTTCCAGATGTGAAACGCGAGCAGGCTGGTGCTGCCGAGGAGGAGGACAAGGAGGAGGACCAGACAGATGAGGTCGTGGTGTCCCAGCAGGCCGAGCGGTCAGCCCCAGATGAAGAGGAGGATAAGCAGGGTGACCAACAGGAAGTGTCTCATGCTCAGGATGCCCCCTCCCCCTCCTTAGAGAATGACTCTGACTCTGAGGAATGTCTTTCAGGCCAGGCTGAGGCTCCAGCTCCCCGGTTCCGGACCCAGACCGCCCCACTGCTTGGCTCCCTGAACTCTCTGGAGCCCCCTATTGGAGATGATGACTTCCTCCTGGCCCCTCCTGGGTGTGAGGTGGCTGTGGAGGGAGGCTCTCTACTCCAGGAGGTGTTGAGCTTCCTCAAGGGTCCCCTGACATCTGTCCTGGGGCTGGAGACAGAGGCTGTGCTCCTGGAGGTAGAGGTGAATATGGAGGGGTCAGAGGCTGAGAGCGGGGTGGATGAGGTGGCATCGGACCCACAGGAAGAAGCCTGTCTCCCCAGTGATGGACCTGACTGCCCAGCAGAGCCCCAAGAGGAGGTGGAGGGTGAGCCTTATGAATCTGAGGAGGAGTTAGTGGTAGAACATTTCAAACCAAAGGAGGAAGAGGAAGATGCAGAGGAAATCAACCCTGAGGACTTAACCAAAGAAGATCAGTGCATGCCTTCAGTGGAAGAGGAGGAAGAGAACAGTGGGGAGGGGGCAGAGGTAGAGGAGAAGGAAACAGAGGAAGCAGAGGAGGACAAAATGGAGCCAGTCTCAGAGGTGCCAGTACAGACAGCCTTATTGGAGCCAGAGGAGGACGAGGATGTAACGCCAACCTCTGTGGAGGATGATTTCCAGCAGGTTCCAGACAATGACAGAGACCCTGAGAGAGCTTGTGAGAGCCCTGAGTGCCCCACTGAGCTGCCTGACCAAACAGTCACAGACCAAGCCTGTGTCTCCCAGCTGCTAAACAGCAGTACACCTCCTCCAGAGTCCCTGGACCCGCCGGAGGCCCCTGCACACACCACACAGGACCAGGAAGAGCCCAGTGTAACAACTGATCAGCCCAGTATAACCAGTCCCAGTGCAGCCGCTGGCCCAGAGCAGAGCCCCCAGGAGCACTGTAGTGGACCAACTGCCACAGAGGATCCTGGGAAACCATCTGGTGGCTCTGAGCAGAGTAGACCCAGGTTCACCATTGCCCCTGCCTGGCAAAGGTTGGCCACCAAAGAGCTAACCTCCCCTTTTCCATCTCCCTCCCCCTCTGTCACTGTGCCTGGGGCTATGGAAGCAAAAAGAGACCCCCCAAGTGGAGTGGAGCCACTTAGCCCTGTGGGGGCTGAAGTCCCTGCTAGTCCCAGCCCAACACAGAGTACCACAGCACCCATCATGCCCCCTGAAGACACTCCCCCTGCATCCCAGGAGGAAGAGACCACTGAGAATCCGTTTGGTGTCAGGCTGAGGAAGACCTCTGTGGGTATGCTTCGCTTAGGCTCAGAGAGTGAAAATCCCCCAGCACACCCACTTCCCATAGAGCCACAGAGGGCCTTGTTCACTGAACCACAGCCAAACAGCAAACCTGCCCTGCCCAGAAAGCCCTCAGAGCTGGATGATATGGTCAAGCCAAAGAGAACACCAGGTACTAAAACCATCTTAGTCACCATCACACCAGTCAGTGTTTACAGACACGTGTGATATTTGGCATATCCTTCACTTGTAAGGTCACCTTTGTTTGGATCCATTTTACAATGTTGAGCTTTTAAGACTTAAGACTGCTGTTCTAACTTTGGACTAACAATTCATACTGAAACAGGTCCATGAGTGCTGTTGAGATCAGACTTATTGAGAGCTATCTAAAAAGAGACACATCAACACCAAGGAGAGATTTCTCCATATGACTATTTCGAGCAACAAATTAGCTGGAATGGTTTTGTTTTTCTACATTTGTCTTTCATTCGTTTGCACCTACCTCTTTATCTTCCATTCCCACTCCAAACAAAAACATTATGCCAAATGAAGTTACCAGGCCACTCCTATATATTCCACACCAGTTGAAGACATTTCTCCTGTGTTCTTTTGTTTCAGATCTGTCTGTGGGTCGAGTGCCTAGTGGGGGATCTCAATCACCAAACTGGGTCTCAGTGGCCAGACAAAAGCAGAGGATCTTAAAAGAGAACTCATTGGAGGAAACCACAGAGAAGGTCCCTGCAGAGACGGTAGGGCTGGTGCACATTGTTTCATGTGTTCTTCTGTTTACCGAGAAGCCCACTGTTTGAGAGAGGAAAACAGTTGATTTGTCAATCAATCAATCCATCCATCCATTTATTCATCCAGTCCTCACACAGAGCAAAATACGTATTTTTGGGCAGCTCTTTATCATTTATGTTGATGCAATAACTAATGTTTTATGACTGTAAAGTTGTGTAGGTTCCATTTACTTTGTTATATTGGAATGAATAAGCACTTAATTCATCTCTTCACAAAACCTATATTTCCAGGAGGAGCCTAACAGAAAAAGTTCAATTCGTACATTGACAAGTCCTGTCAAAAAAGACCAAGCCAAGCCTCCAGGATCTCCTGTAAAAGGTTAGACTCATCAGTGTCCCACTCTGCTACCTCACATGCATCTCTTTCTTATTAAAGTGTTTTCATTGTTCTCACCAAAGACTGAGTGTGATTGATACACTGCTGCCCCCTTGTGGATCCCTACCTGAGCACTACTAATCTTCAATTACATGCCTGAAATGAGACGACAACTAAAAAAGTAGTCCTACCACAAAGTACCTTTTTATCAAAATTGACTTTGAAATTGAATTTTTTGATCACATTTGTCTCTTTGAGATAATGCCAAAAGTGAATGTATCTCTAAAGATATTCTCTGTTCGTTGTCCATAGTATCGTGTTCCCTGGAGATCTCCAAGCCTGTCGTGGTTGAGAAGGAAGGGAAGAGAGCCCTGGCTCACCCAGCCCCTACAGCCCTGGCTCAGGACGAGCCCCCATGGTTGGCCCTGGCTAAGAAGAAGGCCAAAGCCTGGAGCGAGATGCCCCAGATAGTGCAGTGAAGATGGGCCAAACCCCACCGAACAATCCGTCCGCTGATGGATCAGAATGCATTTGCACACCCAGAGTATATATTTTGTTTTCTACTTATTCTGCTCTTCTAATACCTTCAAGCTTCTGATTGGTCAGACACTGAAACCCTCCAATCACAAGCTGCAGTGAAAGGAGTAAGTTGGGAATTGGGCCAAATGAGTAAAGGTTTTGAATTATTGATTGATAAGGCATACGATTGAATTCAGTTGACATTATATGTCTTTAAGTAAGACAGACCAATGACTAAATTAGTTATTTGTTTAAATTTCTTAGCTGATAATGTCAGCCTGTATGAGTGAGGTTCAGGTGTGTCAAAACCTTAAACCTTGATCTTTGATTTGGGGATGAATAAGCATGGACGGAAAGAGAGCTGAAGGTTTCTTCTTTTTATTTATTCAATCTCTCATGTTTGATGTATTTTTGTTTTATTTTTGTATTACCTTTAGACGTGTGTACATGTCTTGTACATAAAATGTGCGGTAATGAACAAATGCTGTTTCTGTTTGTCATCTGAACTCAAGAACAGTAAGATACAAGGAAGTTACATCTGACAGTTGCTCCTCTTTGTACCTACTAACAATCGAGCTGACAAATATAGATATTTTTTTTTACTGTTTAACAGATGCCCCACTTCACATTTCAACTGAGCTGACCTATGTAAAACTCAAAGCATTCTGTGTTGATCCATTAGAACTGCAGTAGCATGTAAAAGAAGTTAGAGGGAGCATTAACACTGCCTGTGGCCAGTAAGCCATGCCTGCATTGCACAGTACACATTCCACATACTGTACCTGGAAATACCTTCTGGTTTGTAATGACTTGGATGGAACTTAATTTTACATGATATGACTAAGCAGGCACACTATCTTCCTTCCTCTGTACTAGTATTTGTAACTAAGTAGCTTACTGTACCCAATTACATGTTATACAACCACACTTGGAACGGCATGGCTCACTTGACCTTCTCGGGCTGCGCTGCCATTGCAAACCTCTGTGCCACATTCTGCTGTGTTACACAAGCACATTACTCATATCAAAGGCTTTATTATGTCTAGGTGAATAAGGCACCTACACACCCAGTGGATGGCCCGGGTCGGGTACTGTTATATAAAGGCCGTTCAGCTGCAGCTTTCAAAGTGCAGATATGTTAGCCCAGACATTTGCTTCTATGGTCACAGTGTTAAAGGGTTACACACATAAAACCTTATTAAATGCTAGGTATTATTTCGTTTTGACAACTTAGTGAATTGAGCTTCACCTCACTAAAGAAGTGTGATTCTACAGTTTTCTCGATGTCCATAGTGTCCACTTTATTACTACTGAATCCCACTGACAGTGACCTGGCTGGAGAGGGGGTATTTGTTACATCATGCACATAAAAGCATGTACATTGCTGTGAAAAAGTATTTGCCCCCTTTCTAATTTTCTCAACTTTAGCATATTTTTTATACTGAATGTTATCAGATCTTCAACCAAAACCTAATATTAGATAAAGGGAACCTGAGTGAACAAATAACGCAACAATGACTTACTTATTTCATTAACAGAGTTAAGCAACACCCAATGCCCCTGTGTGAAAAGTAATTGCCCCCTTACACTCAATAACTGGTTGTGCCACCTTTAGCTGCAATGACTCCAACCAAATGCTTCCTGTAGTTGTTGATCAGTCTCTCACGTCGCTGTGGAGGAATTTTGGCCCACTCTTCCATGCAGAATTGCTTTAACTCAGGGACATTTGTGGGTTTTCAACCATGAATTGCTAATTTCAAGTCCTGCCACAATGCTAATTTTAAGTCCTGCCACAACATCCCAATTGGGATTAGGTCTGCACTTTGACCAAGCTGTTCCAAAACTTCACATTTGTTGCTTTTTAGCCATTTTCATGTAAACTTGATTGTGTGTTTTGGATCATTGTCTTGCTGCATGACCCAGCTGCGCTTCAGCTTCAGCTCACAGACGGATGGCCTGACATTCTCCTGTAGAATTCTCTGATAAAGAGCAGAATTCATGGTTCCTTCTATTAAGGCAAGTCGTCCAGGTCTTGAGGCAGCAAAGCATCCCCAAACCATCACACTACCACCACCATTATGTCTGGCGAAACCTAAATGTGAAGTTTTGGAACGGCCTAGTCAAAGTGCAGACCTAATCCCAATTGAGATGTTGTGGCTGGACTTGAAACGAGCAGTTCATGCTTGAAAACCCACAAATGTCACTGAGTTAAAGCAGTTATGCATGGAAGAGTGGGCCAAAATTCCTCCACAGTGATGTGAGAGAGTGATCAACAACTACAGGAAGCATTTGGTTGCAGTCATTGCAGCTAAAAGTGGCACAACCAGTTATTGAGTGTAACAGGGCAATTACTTTTTCACACAGGGGAATTGGGTGTTGCATAACTTTGTTAATTAAATAAATAAAATAAGTATCTTTTTTTTGTGTTATTTGTTCACTCAGGTTCCCTTTATCTAATATCAGGTTTTGGTTGAAGTTCTGATAATGTTCAGTATCAAAAATATGCAAAGATAGAGAAGATCAGAAAGGGGACAAATACTTTTTCACGGCCCTGTACTTTCAGATGACAAAAGTGGATCGGAGAGGGGAGATAACCGAGGCACTGACTCATGAAATCTCTTTTGTGTTCCACAACCTTCCATTTAAGCCCATGGGGTGATTTGTTGGAGGCACAGACCACACATTCCCAAGAGTCAGGAATGTTTCAGTGGCAGAGATGTTTCCTGTGTTTCAGCTCATGTTGATAGCCCTCTCAAACATTGCTTTTGAAAAGCATTTGCAATCTAATGGCCCCCTCATCTGGTGTTTAAAGAATACGTCTTTATTTAATTGAATTAGAGTAGACAAGTGGAATACAAGATAACACTATGGCCACATACACAATACAACTTGTACAACTGATGTAAAATGCATTTTACACAATGGTTATGATACAACATTTTTGTGATACAACAGTTCGCCTGCACAAAAATCATTACACAATCATTGGGTGGTGTCTCCACAGTGCCTGTGTAAAAAAAATGTTGGCAGACAAACTCTCTGTTGTGTCACAACTGTTGTCACGTGTTGTAAACTAGGATGTATACTCTTTAGATTGACTATTCCTCATCACAGACAAAGCTTTGAGGGATACAAAGACAAACCCTGCAATATCCGCTGCAATGTGATAACCATTACACAACACTTCGATTAAGCACATTAAAATAGCATGAATTTATTTGCAGTGATGACGCCTCAGCCTCGCCAGCAGCTTAAGGCTGAGACATGAGGGCAGGCTGTCTGCACATTACAAGCACAGCCAGCACAGTGTGAAAGTATGGAAGTGTTGGCAGCATTGAAGCGATAGGAGACCGTATCGAAGCCAGAGCCCACCCTCTGTGCAATCCATCCATAGCCAGCATCTCAGAGCTATCAGCCACAGGCAGCAGCATCTCAGAGCTATCAGCCACAGGCAGTAACATCTCAGAGCTATCAGCCACATGCAGCAGCATCTCAGAGCTATCAGCCACAGGCAGCAGCATCTCAAGGCTATCAGCCACAGGCAGCAGCATCTCAGGGCTATCAGCCACAGGCAGCAGCATCTCAGGGCTATCAGCCACAGGCAGCAGCATCTCAGGGCTATCATCACAGGCAGCAGCATCTCAGAGCTATCAGCCACAGGCAGCAGTATCTCAGAGCTATCAGCTACAGGCAGCAGCATCTCAGAGCTATCAGTCACAGGCAGCAGCATCTCAGGGCTATCAGCCAAAGGCAGTAACATCTCAGAGCTATCAGCTACAGGCAGTAGCATCTCAGGGCTATCAGTCACATGCAGCAGCATCTCAGGGCTATCAGCCACATGCAGCAGCATCTCAGGGCTATCAGCCACAGGCAGCAGCATCTCAGGGCTATCATCACAGGCAGCAGCATCTCAGAGCTATCAGCTACAGGCAGCAGCATCTCAGAGCTATCAGTCACATGCAGCAGCATCTCAGGGCTATCAGCCAAATGCAGCAGCATCTCAGGGCTATCAGTCACAGGCAGCAGCATCTCGGGGCCATCATCTACTGTGCAGTTTCACTCCCCAGCCCATCATGGGAGGCTGTACAGTACATTGAGCATGTGAGTAGACACACCTCCTCACAGTTAACACTGTATCATATGAGCTTGTGGCACACACAGTCACACACTTCTCACATGGACACATTCTAGCCCTCTGACACACAGCCCTCTCTCTCACGCAGTTTCCCATACTGTTTACAATGGACTATCTAGCACTAAGCGCAAGTTCTGTCGACACATCAGCACACATACAGGCACTTAACCTCCCAGATGCCTTTTCTGGGTAAGTTAGGTAACCAGTTTTCCCACAATGCACTGCTTTGCCCTACTTATGTCATGGTGTTACATGTTTTATAAAATTGGGGGAAGGTGTATCTGCCAAGTTCCCATAGCAACCCCTCTAGTGACCTTATCATTTCAGTTACATAACCTTACTTGGCATGTAACATAAGACTAGTGTTAAGTGGCTAGGACACACTGATGAAGGATCTCATTTAAGGCATATGCTGAGAAAGAGGATCTTTATACTCTTTAGTTCCAGTGGGGCTCTCGGTACAGTTTAATAGTATCTGGTTTAGTCGCTTCACACCTTTGAGACCCCATTTGTCACTCACTAAAGTTCGTTTCTGCATTTTTCTGTCCTGAATAAACAAAGCATGACACCTTATTCAAAAGAACAAAGACGGGGAAAAAATAGTTTCTTGCCATTTTGGCATGATTCCAGGACCGACTGCTCTCAAAGGCAGAACAAGATACCCTGATACTCTGCAGATGCTGACCTCATTTCAAAGTTGACGTAATGTCTGACTCTGCCCCGTTATGTAAGCCCTATTAAACATATCCCCATGGCTTCCCCCTCCCTTACTCCCACCAGACAGACAGCCTGCTAATTACATTGGTGCTACTTGTCCCCTCTTCCTCGGAGTCCATTATCCCTCCCAGTCAGGGAGGTGTGGTTCGGTATGGGTCAGATCATCTCCTCCAGCAAAAAGGCAGGGCTGCAGAATGTGGGTCAGTGGGGCAGGGGGAGTGGAATGGTGTTTCCTTCCTCCTAAACCGTGACCTACATTCACACTGTTGTGTAAAGTCAATGCAGCCCTACATAAGCTTTCTGTTATGTCCCAACATTCTAGACATTTCTAAAGAGCTACATTGATACTGCTTTAGACTAACACGTAACCAAAGGAGAAAAATGTAGAACACGGGACAAGAGAGACTTCAAATGAAAGACCATCGGTTTAGCTCTTATTCCATAAATATATATTTATTCAGAAGTGTGTTTTCTGTACATTGTATAACATTGCAATGACTACATTTCCATCAAAACAGAAATATAACGTCAGATAAGATGCCTACAACATACATTCAATTTATTTTGTAAACACATACAGTTAGAGGCAATTATACCTGTGTAATACAATCACCAAAAAAAAGACTCCATCCATGGTCACCTCATCTCCACAGAAACAAATGACATGCCAATTTGAATCAATTAGCATGTTCTGTGGTGGAAGAGCTACAGGTCAGTGTGTCAGAGGTAGATTGGCTTCGATCATTAGTGCAAGGTTCAATGTGGAATTCAAAAAGGTCAGGAAGATACTACCTTTGCATTTCTATTGGTTTGGCATTTTCTGATGTAAATGGGTAAAATGCATCTTTGCATAGATGAATGACAATTTGGCTTATATGCAACAGCCATATCAAATTAATATACATGCAAATGTGTGATGTTGGAGAGTAAAAATGCTATACTTGAATTGACATGCCAATCAATTAACTATAATCCTGACATTTTTTAACTCAAGCTTAACCAAGGCTCAATGTTGTTGTTTATGAAAGTCCAACTGAAAATCCTCATTGTGTTCTTGCATTAAGATGATTTTCATTTAGTTGGGATAAGATATACAATATAATACCAATATTTCTTACAACAGCAATACTCACAATGAACCAGGACTGGAATTGTTTAAAATGACTGTTTGTCTCCTCAGCAAAATAGTTTGGACTTTAAGCCAAATCTTCCTCGATGGAACGCAACCTTAGTCTGAATTCTGCTGCCTCGATGGAACGCAACCTGTCTGAATTCTGCTGCCTCGATGGAACGCAACCGTAGTCTGAATTCTGCTGCCTCGATGGAACGCAACCTTAGTCTGAATTCTGCTGCCTCGATGGAACGCAACCTTAGTCTGAATTCTGCTGCCTCGATGGAACGCAACCTTAGTCTGAATTCTGCTACATAGTTTGAGCTTTATGGTACTGGCATCATGGAAGAAATCCAACTTAAGGCACTAAATGTTGAAAAAGATTAGAAATTACTGAGTGATTGATGCTACCGTTTATGGGACAATAACTTGAAAGACAAGATGATGACAGTTCAAATGTCAGAAATAAGTCTTCCAACTCCTTCATGAGTTTTTAGAATGGTTAGACTTTCATCTGACTGTAATGTGTTAGGAAAATAATTTCAGAGTGTCTTGGGCTTAGGTCAGGACAACCAAATGCAAAAAGTTTTTCGCAAATCAAACTGAGAATATTGGAAAGTGGTAAAAGTGGAAAGGCTGATAAATCCGCCACGCTCTACACTCTAAAAGTTGATATTTCCCTCGTCTACAGTTATTTGCATGTTCACATTCACGTCGTTGCCTTATGTATACTAGCCAGGAATCACGCTGCACAAGTGGTAACCGTTATTGCAATCACTTTTAGTTTGTTCGTCACTTCTGTCATCTCTAATTTATGAGCATATATGTTGCAAAAAATATGAGACAAGGCAGCCCTATATAAATACAATAACTTACAATTGGCCCTTGGAATACAAAATATAATTGTTGTTCATTAACACATTTCCACAAGATTTTACAACATAACCATTGTCTGTATAAAAAGGTGATAATCATAACATAGAAATAACAGTAGAAAACTATGAAAAAAGTATGTCAGACAAAGAAACATGTAGCATCCAACAAAACAATAAAAGGTTTTCCTTTCTTAAAGGCTAATCTCACAACCCATCTTTGCTCACCATGCATGAAGAAAATGTGAGTATCACTTATGCTGCAACTAAAGTGCAAAGTAGGTCATATAAATAACAATACATATTCCATCGTAAGTAGGAGATAGCTCATTTCAACTGGAGGTGTATTGCATTCATCTACACCAAAACAGGGAGAAAATCATATTATCTGAATGATATAGTTAAAGCAGCAGCAGAACCAGTACTATATCGTCATTTTGTCCACTAATTTTCTACATTTTCAGGGGTTTTGGTTTTGATAATATGTAATTTGTGGTGGTTAATAAACTCTTTGGAAATAAAAAGTTATGTAATAGTTTAGAGTTTGTCATCCCTCCCAGGGATGTAAACATGTTGCATGCACACGCAGTGTTTATAAATAATAACAAAAACTAAATCAATCATTGTCTTTAAAGCACACTGATTAAAAGATTCACTCCATAAGTAGCCTCTTCTAATCCTTGGAAGGAAGAAATAATCATCATCACATTTTGGAAATCTAATCAAAGCCCACTTGACAATAACCTATTTACACAGAAGGCTTTCGTTACCATTTGGTCTTTCAGACAAAACAGACATCCACATGGAGGAGATGGATGGTTGTGTGAGGGTTGGAGTCACCGAGAGGAGCAGTTGCGGGTCATGAAGAGGAGTACTCTGCGGATGCCACAGAGTCTGTCCTTCAGGGAGGTCAGGGCCAGGAAGGGCAGCTGGGCTCGACCCTCCAGGGGAAGGACTGCCAGCAGCCACCAGCACCAGGACGGCCCATTGGGACTGGCCTACAGGGGACAACCAGAAGAATCCATCCATAACCTGTTCAATACAAACTGTATCAAAATAGAGTTAACATATACGATCTGTATCCAGGGTTCACATATTTACCTGTGGTTCAGAGTCTTTCTCCGGCATGGGCCCAAAGTGCCCCACGATCCTCTCCATCTGTTCTGCTTTGAGGGAGTTGACCCAGATTAAGGCCTGGTCGTACACTGCATCATGGAGACTCTGCAGCTCCTTCTCTGTCACACCCTCCACCTATACAAAACAAGAACAGCCTTCAGTAGCACAGCGAGATACACTAATACACTTTAAACATGTTCAGACAACATTCATGCAAATGCTTTAGTTCATGCGATTAATAATGACCTTAACGTCTTCCAGGTATTGAATGTCTGCTGTGTTGTAACCATCTCTCTGGTGGTGCTCAATGACTTTAAACCTTCTTTTTCCAATGGTGTCAACAACGGAGCGGCCGTCTGCAAAGCATTCCACGTTTCGGATCTCCAGGAGGCAACCGTAATCTGCAAATCTATGGGGAAGGCAAAAAAGTAGATATGGTAAGCAAATAAGACCAAAAACGTGCCTAAGGCATTCACAGAGGGACCAAACAATAAAGTAGTCTATATAAACTATCTGAAGTTGCTTTTACAAAATGACATGCAAGACCTGCTCAGCTCTGATAATAGCCTAAGGCCCTCAATGGGGCCAAACAAGAGAGTTGACCCAATGGGGCCAAACAAGAGAGTTGACCCAATGGGGCTTTTGAGTTGTTAACATGAATTGCCAGACGACGCCGATATCCCCTGTCTGACTGAGGAACACGCAACACAATGTTTCTCTGCTTTGTCCAGGCTTTACTCACCCTTTGAGGTTATCATCGAGGCACATTCCAAACTGCTTGGTACCCATCTCCATACACCTGCGGATCATCAGCCGGTAGCAGGGCTCGAAGACGTGAAGCGGGCATGGAACGGTGGGGAAGGCCATGGTGCAAACAAATATAGGCACGTTCTTGTTTAGACTGCAAAAGAAGAAATCAAAGTAGAGAAAAGTATTAGTTTGAGGAAATAATATATCCAAAGTTACAGGTGAAGAAACATAAATGTCATGTTACATGTCTTTGTTACACAGTACTGGATCAATGGGAGAGTGTCTGTATGCTGACGTGATTCTTACTTGGATAAGTCTGCAATCTCCTCCGCGTTGACTTTCTGCCTGTCCATGAGCTCAGATGGCAGATACTTGCAGATGAGGTTCTCCACCAAGACAGTCTTGTTGTATTTACTTTCTGCCAGATACTCTTTCAGCTCCATCTTGCAGAGAGGACACTTGGGGTTGTAGTCCAGGCATCGCTCGAGGCATTTCAGACAGAAGGTGTGTCCGCAAGGAGTGGTGACTGGTTCATAAAATAGTCTAGGGTATACCATGGAGAGAAAGGACACAATATAGTGCAATGGAGTGGTACAATGACACTCAGAACATCTCTCACTACTCTATTGTTGATTACGTTCAGGTTCTTATTTACATATAGCTCATTGCATTTCCATTACATTGTTTGATAATGAAATGTAAGCTATAATGGTAAAAATAAGGCTAAATGTTTACCTATTCATCTTTATTGCTTAATACTATCAGAAAAGAAGATCGATATCTTGTGTTCACTTGTAAAATAACTGACTTGTGTGAGGCTAAGAAAATGACTGTTAATCCTAGAACATCAGAATTAAAAGCAGCACACTATATTACTATCCTTTCAGCCTTAAGTGGCAAATACTACAATTCAGCTACACGTATTGTCATGGATGGTAGTGCTCACCTCATACACAGAGAACACTCCAGGTCAGTCGGGTCTATGAGGCCAGCAAGCACTGTACTCCAGGAAGTTGCTTGTTCATTCTGGGTCACTTCTGTAAAAGGGAACCATTTGAGTTAGATGGTGAATCTCAACGACTACTTCACTTACAGTATACAGTGGGGGGAAAAAGTATTTAGTCAGCCACCAATTGTGCAAGTTCTCCCACTTAAAAAGATGAGAGAGGCCTGTAATTTTCATCATAGGTACATGTCAACTATGACAGACAAAATGAGAAAAAGAATTCCAGAAAATCACATTGTAGGATTTTTTATGAATTTATTTGCAAATGATGGTGGAAAATAAGTATTTGGCCAATAACAAAAGTTTCTCAATACTTTGTTATATACCATTTGTTGGCAATGACACAGGTCAAACGTTTTCAATGCCCTTGCTGATGGAAGGAGGTTTTCACTAAAAATCTCACGATACATGGCCCCATTCATTCTTTCCTTTACACGGATCAGTCGTCCTGGTCCCTTTGCAGAAAAACAGCCCCAAAGCATGATGTTTCCACCCCCATGCTTCACAGTAGGTATGGTGTTCTTTGGATGCAACTCAGCATTCTTTGTCCTCCAAACACGACGAGTTGAGTTTTTACCAAAAAGTTATATTTTGGTTTCATCTGACCATATGACATTCTCCCAATCCTCTTCTGGATCATCCAAATGCACTCTAGCAACCTTCAGACGGGCCTGGACATGTACTGGCTTAAGCAGGGGGACACGTCTCGCACTGCAGGATTTGAGTCCCTGGCGGCGTAGTGTGTTACTGATGGTAGGCTTTGTTACTTTGGTCCCAGCTCTCTGCAGGTCCCCCCGTGTGGTTCTGGGATTTTTGCTCACCGTTCTTGTGATCATTTTGACCCCACGGGGTGAGATCTTGCGTGGAGCCCCAGATCGAGGGAGATTATCAGTGGTCTTGTATGTCTTCCATTTCCTAATAATTGCTCCCACAGTTGATTTCTTCAAACCAAGCTGCTTACCTATTGCAGATTCAGTCTTCCCAGCCTGGTGCAGGTCTACAATTTTGTTTCTGGTGTCCTTTGACAGCTCTTTGGTCTTGGCCATAGTGGAGTTTGGAGTGTGACTGTTTGAGGTTGTGGACAGGTGTCTTTTATACTGATAACAAGTTCAAACAGGTGCCATTAATACAGGTAACGAGTGGAGGACAGAGGAGCCTCTTAAAGAAGAAGTTACAGGTCTGTGAAAGCCAGAAATCTTGCTTGTTTGTAGGTGACCAAATACTTATTTTCCACCATAATTTGCAAATAAATTCATTAAAAATCCTACAATGTGATTTTCTGGATTTGTTTTTCTCAAATTTGTCTGTCATAGTTGACGTGTACCTATGATGAAAATTACAGGCCTCTCTCATCTTTTTAAGTGGGAGAACTTGTACAATTGGTGGCTGACTAAATACTTTCCCCCCCCCCCACTGTACATCATGCCAATAAAGCTCTATTGAATTGAAGAGCATTTAAGGGGCGAGACCAGAGTTCTTTAAACTTACCAGATTTGGAACGCTTGCAGATGTCGATACTGTCCACTTCGCTGTCCTCGGATGAGCTACGTTTGAGGAAGACACTCCTGTTGGTGACGCTGGAATGGCAGACATTCACCTGATGTGCTCCTTTCTTTCCGCTGCACGTCTCAAACGAGCCATCTGTCTTAGATTCACTCAGTGTGGGCGACAACGTCAACTTCTCGTCAGAGGTGATGATATTCTTGTAATCCTGTGAGAAAGGGTGATGATAGGACATTTTAGTAAATTCATGAGCTTAACTCCAGGCACTATAAGATAGTACTGTATTATATAGAAAAAGAAGATGGATGACTTATCTTACCTTGTAAGACTTGGAGGATGTGGTGATGATGCAGCTTGAGGTGTTCAGGATGCCACCTTTAAATCTACTTCTGGAAGATAGAAGACTTGTGCAGTCTAGGATTCTGTTGTGTACTTGATCAGTGACAGGGGCCTGGAGATCACTCAGAATCTTTTGTGCCTCTGTTTTTGCCAATTTACTTTCAGGGTCTAATGCAATGACGACCAGGTACTCTCTTAACGCTTCTTCACATTTCCCCAGAGTGACAAGAGCTTGTGCTTTTCTAATATGTCCCTGGAAGAAAAATAATGTTGAGTAATCAGTGCAAATCCTACCATTTCTTTGCATTGTGAAGTTCTGATGGTAGATCTAAATTAAACATGGCAAAACGTCCAACCCTCACCATGGACCAAAGAGGCATGAGTTTGCATGCCATCTCTGCATCATGAAGGGCATCCTGGTAATTATTCAGACTGGAATTGATCTGTGATCGGTTGCTGTACAGAACATGGTCCCTTGGAGCTGGAAAAGAAATACAACATATTCACTTGGAAGGACAGAGATTTACTTTGTGCCAGAACTATAACTGTACAATATAATGTGGACATTTGGCATCTCAAAAATCAAGGTCAAATTCAATAGAAATTGAAATAGGGGCTGAAAGTGATAATATATTCATTATTCCATCATTCTATAATTGAATGTCACACAAGACCAGTTTTCTTCAGATCACAGTGAAAATGTGGGGATTTTGGATTATTGTTGAAAGATTATTGTTGTTCAACATTTGAAGAAGTATGTGTCTAATCAATAATGACAGTGGAACCAATACTGCGGTGTCTACTGTTGAACTTTGATTACCCTTGACCCACATTCCTTTAATTGTCTGTTACACAATCACAACAAAATGCCATGGCTCACATGTTACTCAATGTTTGGTCGCCTAGCACAGGGTTTCCCAAACTCGGTCCTGGGGCCCGGTTTGGGAAACCCTGGCCTAGCCAACATAACATCTTATTTAACCTTCACACACCCATGTGTGACATAAGCACGACTCTCTCAGAATTAAGGGGTTAAAGCCAAGTAATAAACAGGATACATTGTTATAATAATTTCCCCATAGAATTGTTACAATGTAGCGCAGTTTACACCACACCCAATGTTACATCAAACCTGCTGATTCAGCTGTCAATTAAGCCAGCCCATACGCACTGGAAACAGTAGCCTACATACTGTTGCAACATTGCATAGGATATAGGCCATTCATTTAATTTAATTTAATTTAGAATGAGTTCGATACCATTTAGAACATTGATTTAAATGAAAAGGTAAAATACCATACCTATTTGTACTGCTTCGTTGTATTTGTCCAAAGCCGCATCCATTATTTTCTCTGAATATAGGCCATTCCCCCCACGTCTCAGATGAACAGCAAGTAATTGAACTGGAAACCACTTTGATAACAAGTTACTAAGAACAACATTTACTCTATAATTGTCCACATCATTGAATTTGGTAATGTCATTGCACTCTTTGCAGCAGACATTAATTTGTTCTCTGTCCAGGCACTTTTTGCAAAAGCAGTGTCCACAAGGCAAGGTAACTGGCTCGTATAGAAATCCATAACATATTCTGCAGGTAAATGCATCATATCCAACGCAATAAGAGTTCGTCTCCTGCCTGTTGCTTTGACTGTCTGTCCCATCCTTTCTTTTAATACTGTTAGAGAGATATATAATAAGATTCTCGAGATGGACTGGTCGTAGTCTCTCGATTTCAGCAGCTTTTCGGTAGATTTCGAAGGCTTCGGTCAATTTGCCAGCAAATGCCAGGGCATCCGCCCGTTTCACCAACAGATCTTGCTGCGTACCAGGGTCGCGCAGGTGCAGCATTTGACATTCGTATATGTCTGCAGCGAGCCCGAAGTTTTTAGATTTAAACGCTTCTGCCGCAAGAAGCAGCATACAATCTGTACTATCCGTTCCCATAATGACTGCTGTTGTGTGGTATAGTCTTGCGAAATTAATCTTTCCTTTTTGGAAGAAACAGGTCGTTCTCTATTTATCTCATTTTCTGAGGTCTTCGCCTCTGCTCAGCTCACTACTCTGAGACGACGTGATCCTACACCATTAATAATATTGTCATCGTAAAAATAAAAAAAATAAAAAAACAATGTTACATAAACTGTCATGTGACCACAGCCAGCTCTTCCTATTGGACAGGTTTCTAACGCGGTTGCCTAATAACAATTCAGTTGTAACACAGAGAGCTTCTGGACTGTGGATAGAAGTCGGTCAATGTTCTGAAATGGGTCAAATGCGTAATACTTGTATAGATGTATGTAGGCTGAAGGCATTCCATCACTGGTCTCTTGGACGGTAGAGCATATGCACGTAGCAATGAACACATTCTACACTCAGAAAAAAATGAGTGTTATGGAGAACCCTCTAAAAAAAAAAAAAGGATCCAGATAGAACCCTTTTTGGTTCCACATAGAACCATCTCAAAGGTGCTATTTGCTCGTCCATACATGTATATATTCTTAATTCCATTCCTTACTTAGATTTGTGTGTATTGGGTATATGTTGTGAAATGGTTAGATATTACTTCTTAAATATTACTGCATTGTCTGAGCTAGAAGCACAAGCATTTTGCTACACCCGCAATAACATCTGCTAAACACGTGTGTACAGTGCCTTGCAAAAGTATTCATACCCATTGGCGTTTTTCCTATTTTGTTGCATTACAACCTGTAATTTAAATTGATTTTTATTTGGATTTCATGTAATGGACATTCACAAAATAGTCCAAATTGGTGAAGTGAAATGAAAAAAATTACTTGTTTAAAAAAATAAATAAAGGAAAAGTGGTGCGTGCATATGTATTCACCCCCTTTGCTATGAAGCCCCTAAATAAGATCTGGTGCAACCAATTACCTTCAGAAGTCACATAATTAGTTAAATAAAGTCCACCTGTGTGCAATCTAAGTGTCATATGATCTGTCTCATTATCTCAGTATATATACACACCTGTTCTGAAAGGCCCCAGAGTCTGCAACACCACTAAGCAAGCGGCACCATGAAGACCAAGGAGCTCGCCAAACAGGTCAGGGACAAAGTTGTGGAGAAGTACAGATCAGGGTTGGGTTATAAAAAAATACCAGAAACTTTGAACATCCCACGGAGCACCATTAAATCCATTATTAACAAATGTAAAGAATATGGCACCACAACAAACCTGCCAAGAGAGGGCCGCCCACCAAAACTCAGACATTTACATTTTAGTCATTTAGCAGACGTTCTTATCCAGAGCGATTTACAGGAGCAATTAGGGTTAAGTGCCTTGCTCAAGGGCACATCGACAGATTTTTCACCTAGTCGGCTCGGGGATTAGAACCAGCGACCTTTCGGTTACTGGCACTACGCTCTTAACCACTAAGCTACCTGCCTACTAACATAATAATAATAATAATAATAATCTACATCCTAATCAATATCATAACATTTATAATCAATAACATCATCTATATACTACTAACATCATAACAATAATCTACATCAATCAATATCCAAACATGTATAATCAATAACATCATTATCTATATACTACTAACAACATCATAGCAATAATATAGATCATAATCAATATCATGACATTTGTAATCAATAATATCATTCTCTATACTACTAACATCACAATAATCTACATAATAATCAATATCATAACATTTATAATCAATAACATAATTATCTCTATACTACTAACAACATAACAATAATCTACATCATAATCAATATAACATTTATAATCAATAACATTATCTATATACTACTAACATCATAACAATAATCTGCATCCTAATCAATATCATAACATTTATAATCAATAACATCATTATCTCTATACTACTAAAAACATAATCTACATCCTAATCAACATAACATTTATAATCAATAACATCATCTATATACTACTAACGTCATAACAATAATCTGCATCCTAATCAATATCATAACATTTATAATCAATAACATCATGAGATAAACAACACAACAAACCCCAACAACAAACTAAAATGACTTGAGAAAAAGATGACCCCTTTATTCAAATGTTTCAAAATACAAAGAATGACCAGATGATTATAATAATACATGGACTAATAATGGAAACACTTCAAGATAAAGAACATAAGAGAATACTAAGTAAGATAAAGACATAACGACAAAAGCAAAAAGCAATACATTCTGGAACACAAAACAGACGTAATTGAGCAACTCTCTTAAAATAATTAAAAATCCCATGTTACTAAAACCCATGATACCAAAACCCCATGTTACCCAAACCCCATGTTGGTATCGACCTAAAGATCCATGCTGCTCACCCGGTTCACTCTCTTCTGCCTCCTGGTGGTCTAGGGAGGCACAGCACCAAGAGTTACTTAGTCACTATCTCTGTCTCCCTTTCTCTGTCTCTGTCTCTGTCTCTCTTTGAGTACAGTACAAAAGATCACAAGCATAGTACAACAGGTGACCAAACAAAGTTGAACAAATATCCACTCCTGGTTGACCACATAAACAGATGATATGATATAGACCAACTCTCTACCAGACTACTAATCAATACAGTCAGACTTTAGACACGTTGGAGTAGGGATGCAAAATCCCAGGAACTTTCAATAAATTCAATGATTCTCCAAAATTGTTGGTTGGAGGATTCTGGATTTCCTGTGTATTCCCTTCAGATCCGGGTATCCTCCAACCGGGATAAGGAGGACATTAATCAGAGGCAACAAAGAGACCAAAGATAACCCTGAAGGAGCTGCAAAGCTCCACAGAGGAGAATGGAGTATCTGTCCATAGGACCACTTTAAGCTGAAGAGTGGCCAGAAAAAAAGCCAATTGCTTAAAGAAAAAAATAAGCAAACACGTTTGGTGTTCACCAAAAGGCATGTGGGAGACTCCCCAAACATATGGAAGAAGGTACTCTGGTCAGATGAGCGCAAACCCAACACCTCATCACCCTGAGAACACCATCCCCACAGTGAAGCATGGTGGTGGCAGCATCATGCAGTGGGGATGTTTTTCATCAGCAGGGACTGGGAAACTGGTCAGAATTGAAGGAATGATGGATGGCGCTAAATACAGGGAAATTCTTGAGGGAAACCTGTTTCAGTCTTCCAGAGATTTGAGACTGGGATGGAGGTTCACCTTCCAGCAGGACAATGACCCTAAGCATACTGCTAAAGCAACACTCGAGTGGTTTAAGGGGAAACATGTAAATGTCTTGGAATGGCCTAGTCAAAGCCCAGACCTCAATCCAATTGAGAATCTGTGGTATGACTTAAAGATTGCTGTACACCAGCGGAACCCATCCAACTTGAAGGAGCTGGAGCAGTTTTGCCTTGAAGAATGGGCAAAAATCCCAGTGGCTAGATGTGCCAAGTTTATAGAGACATACCCCAAGAGACTTGCAGCTGTAATTGCTACAAAAGGTGGCTCTACAATGTATTGACTTTGGGGGGGGTGAATAGTTACGCACGCTCAAGTGTTCTGTTTTTTTTGCATTTATAACCTACCACTTTGCATCTTCAAAGTGGTAGGCAAGTTGTATAAATCAAATGATACAAACCCCCCCAGAAATCCATTTTTAATTCCAGGTTGTAAGGCAACAAAATAGGAAAAATGCCAAGGGGGGTGAATACTTTCGCAAGCCACTGTATGTGACAAATAAAATTTGATTTGAAAGCAGATGTTCTATGTGCTACCAAATAGGGTTTTCAGAGGGTTCTCCTACAGGGACAAATGGTTCTACATAGCACACTTTTTCTGAGAGAGTATGTTGCAGTAGGCTATAAAGTGACATGTCTGCTGCCTCTCTAACCTGGTGGTCCCTGCACGCACCACACACCTGGAGTTCCAGGTCTCAGGCAGCCTCTGGAACTGCCATTCTGCTGCCAACAAGGCTGACTTCATCCCAGCCTATGCTACCCTCCAGTCCCTCGACTTCCTGGCGCTGACGGAAACATGGATTACCACTGAAAACACTGCTACTCCTACTGCTCTCTCCTCGTCTGACCATGTGTTCTCGCATACCCCGAGAGCATCTGGTCAGAGGGGTGGTGGCACAGGAATCCTCATCTCTCCCAAGTGGTCATTCTCAATTTTTCCCCTAACCCATCTGTCTATCTCCTCATTTGAATTCCACGCTGTCACAGTCACTAGCCCATTTAAGCTTAATCTCCTTGTCATCTATCGCCCTCCAGGTTCCCTTGGAGAGTTCATCAATGAGCTTGACGCCTTGATAAGTTCCTTTCCTGAGGATGGCTCACCCTTCACAGTTTTGGGGGATTTCAACCTCCCTACGTCTACATTTGACTCATTTCTCTCTGCCTCCTTCTTTCCACTCCTCTCCTCTTTTGACCTCACGCTCTCACCGTCCCCCCCTACTCACAAGGCAGGCAATACGCTTGACTTCATCTTTACTAGATGTTGCTCTTCTACTAATCTCACTGCAACTCCCCTCCATGTCTCCGACCACTACTTTGTATCCTTTTCTCTCTCGCTCTCCTCCAACACTACTCACTCTGCCCCTACACAGATGGTAATGCGCCGCCGCAACCTTCGCTCTCGCTCTCCCACTACTCTCTCCTCTTCCATCCTATCATCTCTTCCCTCTGCTCAATCCTTCTCCCTCCAATCTCCTGATTCTGCCTCCTCAACCCTCCTCTCCTCCCTTTCTGCATCCTTTGACTCCCTGTGTCCCCTATCCTCCCGGCCGGCTCGGTCCTCCCCTCCAGCTCCGTGGCTTGATGACTCATTGCGAGCTCACAGAACAGAGCTCCGGGCAGCTGAGCGGAAATGGAAGAATACTAAACTCCCTGCCGACCTGGCATCTTTTCACTCCCTCCTCTCTACATTTTCTTCATCTGTTTCTGCTGCTAAGGCCACTTTCTACCACTCTAAATTCCAAGCATCTGCCTCTAACCCTAGGAAGCTCTTTGCCACATTCTCCTCACTGCTGAATCCTCCCCCCCACCCTCCTCCCTCTCTGTGGATGACTTCGTCAACCACTTTGAAAAGAAGGTTGACGACATCCGATCCTCGTTTGTTAAGTCTAATGACACTGCTGGTCCTGCTCACACTGCCCTACCCTATGCTTTGACTTCTTTCTCCCCTCTCTCTCCAGATAAAATTGTGCGACTAGTGACTGCAGGCCGCCCAACAACCTGCCCGCTTGACCCCATCCCCTCCTCTCTTCTCCAGACCATCTCCGGTGACCTTCTCCCCTACCTCACCTCGCTGATCAACTCATCCTTGACCGCTGGCTATGTCCCTTCCGTCTTCAAGAGAGCGAGAGTTGCACCCCTTCTCAAAAAACCAACACTCGATCCCACTGATGTCAACAACTACAGACCAGTATCCCTTCTTTCTTTTCTTTCGAAAACTATTGAGCGTGCCGTCTTTAGCCAACTATCTTGCTATCTCTCTCAGAATGACCTTCTTGATCCAAACCAGTCAGGTTTCAGGACTGGTCATTCAACTGAGACTGCTCTTCTCTGTGTCACGGAGGCTCTCCGCACTGCTAAAGCTAACTCTCTCTCCTCTGCTCTTGTCCTTCTAGACCTGTCTGCTGCCTTTGATACTGTGAACCATCAGATCCTCCTCTCCACCCTCTCCGAGCTGGGCATCTCCGGCGCGGCTCACTCCTGGATTGCGTCCTACCTGACCGGTCGCTCCTACCAAGTGGCGTGGCGAGAAGCTGTCTCCGCACCACGTGCTCTCACCACTGGTGTCCCCCAGGGCTCAGTTCTAGGCCCTCTCCTTTTCTCCCTATACACCAAGTCACTTGGCTCTGTCATATCCTCACATGGCCTCTCCTATCATTGCTACGCTGACGATACACAACTAATCTTCTCCTTTCCCCCTTCTGATAACCAGGTGGCGAATCGCATCTCTGCATGTCTGGCAGACATATCAGTATGGATGACGGATCACCACCTCAAGCTGAACCTCGGCAAGACGGAGCTGCTCTTCCTCCCGGGGAAGGACTGCCCGTTCCATGATCTCGCCATCACGGTTGACAACTCCGTTGTGTCCTCCTCCCAGAGAGCGAAGAGCCTTGGCGTGACCCTGGACAACACCCTGTCGTTCTCCGCTAACATCAAGGCGGTGACCCGATCCTGCAGGTTCATGCTCTACAACATTCGGAGAGTACGACCCTGCCTTACACAGGAAGCGGCACAGGTCCTAATCCAGGCACTTGTCCTCTCCCGTCTGGATTACTGCAACTCGCTGTTGGCTGGGCTCCCTGCCTGTGCCATTAAACCCCTACAACTCATCCAGAATGCCGCAGCCCGTCTGGTGTTCAACCTTCCCAAGTTCTCTCACGTCACCCCCCTCCTCCGCACACTCCACTGGCTTCCAGTTGAAGCTCGCATCCGTTACAAGACCATGGTGCTTGCCTATGGAGCAGTGAGGGGAACGGCACCTCCGTACCTTCAGGCTCTGATCAGTCCCTACACCCAAACGAGGGCATTGCGTTCATCCACCTCTGGCCTGCTGGCTCCCCTTCCTCTGCGGAAGCATAGTTCCCGCTCAGCCCAGTCAAAACTGTTCGCTGCTCTGGCACCCCAATGGTGGAACAAGCTCCCTCACGACGCCAGGACAGCGGAGTCACTCACCACCTTCCGGAGACATTTGAAACCCCACCTCTTTAAGGAATACCTGGGATAGGATAAAGTAATCCTTCTACCCCCCCCAAAAATAATAATAAAATAAAAAAAATTGTAAAGTGGTTATCCCACTGGCTATAGGGTGAATGCACCAATTTGTAAGTCGCTCTGGATAAGAGCGTCTGCTAAATGACGTAAATGTAAATGTAAATTACAAATTCTTGAGCTTGTTTTACTAATGTGACACATTCATTAGGCATTGTGCTACAGGCAGTATTACATGGACAATGTGTTCTTAATCAAGGACTAAAGACAGTTAGGGGGTTACGCGGTTACCCAAATTCCTCCACACAGGTTGGTCGTCTGAGCTTGCAAATTAACTCAATCCCATTTTCAGACAGGTCAACCTTCTTTTACAGTGACTCTGAAAGTGGGTCATCGGTGTAACCCAGTCAGTTCGTCTAGGCCTGGATGAGGTTTAGCCTAAATCCTGTGGCTGACCCATAACTTTTCCCCATGTCACCTTAGCAATTCTAGGTCAACTTTACTTTGAACTGAACTTTAAGTAACCAGATGATTATAAAACACACAAACAATACATTTACCGTTAACACCCTTATTAAGTCAAATGCTAATAAAAACATTTGATATTTAAAATAACACAACACCCATTTTTGTACAATTGATCATATTTAATATCTACACATGACATGTCAAAATGATATAAATCCGTTTTATGGCAGAAACCCTGCCTGATGAAACCACTTACTGGCCTTTAATAACCTTACTGACATGCTCAGTTAATCTTGAATCTTCAAAACGCTTCTCTTCTCCAGATCATTCATCTCTTTAAGAATAAGCGCAACGTTGTACCGGAGTTCTTGAAACTTGGAAACAGGCACCTAGAGAGAAACAAAAGCAGCACGCAGATACTGCGATGAGTGAGATGCACAACTTCGCCATCACACAGTATCTGCGCATGTGCACGGGTTCGCTTCACGCTTTTACAACATGGTAGCCACGGGACCAAAACAGCGGAGAAGTTGAGCCTCGCGCTTCAACGCTCTTAGTTGTTGTAGAAATTGATCAACTATGCTGTTTTCTTTCTGCATCTAGGTCATATCGCTGAGTCTACCTTTAAATTACCAAATTGTATTGAAGGAAATAACACTTATTAACACTATGAATGCTGATACCAAGCTCTGTCATACAAATGGACTATGGAATAAATGCAATGTCTGATCGCTTGTTTGAACACAGTACAATATTTATGTTTGAGGGAAGTGTTGGAAATACCAGACAGTTATATCATAATCCTTCACCATAAGATGTTGATAGTCTCAAACAGATGTTAACCATATTCTCTAGTCTAAACCATGTCGTCGCTACAGTTGTATAATGCAGGGACACACTGTTACATAGTAACCTACTTACAACTGTGATAAGCCTACATAATTACAGGCTGAGTAATTACACGTAACAATCTTTATATGCATTAGACAAACTTAAAATCAACCTCACCCTTGTAAGCCAGTTGTGAGGAGACATGCATATCAAAGCCATAACCAGCAAGTTGTTACAGTATTTTTACCTCAAAGCGATGGGCCTTTCCATCTGAGAGCTTCATCTGCATTAAAATGGAGGGCTGCAAGGCACGAGCTAGGGAGCTTCCAAGAAAACAACAGACTATGTGATGCATGTATTATTAAATCAGAGCCTTTAAGCAATTATGTTTTATTTTTAAATTCTCACTACACAATAATGAAATGTGTTTACTATTTATCAAACCATTTATTGTACTACTATATAATGATAACACTGCATGCATTTCATGGACATTTACAGTTCTCACAATATTTTCTCAGTTTAATTCTCTCTGTTCAATTTCTCCTTCAAAAAGTTGACCCTCCTATGTTATAGTGAAGAAATTATAGTGTACCTTGTTGAAATGGCCACATCCACTCTCCATCTAAAATCCTTAAGGGAGGGTAATCGAGGCCCCTGCTGCATAGTCACTGCCTCCAGTGTTGTTCGTCTGAAAACAACCACAGTGAAAGCAAGGGACAGTGAGCTGATACACAATCACAGAGTCAGCACCACAGGTTTCTCTGTGCACAATAAACCCACCACTTAAGTGCTGGAAAACCTGGATTTTAGTTTAAGAAATAAATAACCTTTTCATGAAGTTTGTCATTTTGTGCATTCGGAAAGTATTCAGACCCCTTGATTTTTTTCAAAATGTTGTTACGTTACAGCCCGATTCATAAATTGATTACATTGTTTTTCCCCCCTTATCAATCTACACACAATAGCCCATAATGACAAAGCAAAAACTGGTTTTTAGACATTTTTGCAAATGTATAAAATAAAATATTACATTTACATAAGTATTCAGACCCTTTACTCAGTACTTTGTTAAAGCACCTTTGGCAGCGATTACAGCCTCAAGTCTTCTTGGGTCTGATGCTATAACCTTGGCTCACCTGTATTTAGGGAGTTTCTCCCATTATTCTCTGCAGATCCGCTCAAGCTCTGACAGGTTGGATGGGGAGCGTCGCTGCACAGCTATTTTCAGGTCTCTCCAGAGATGTTCGATCGGGTTCAAGTCCGGGATCTGGCTGGGCCACTGTTCTTTGCTCCGTTCATCTTTCCCTCGATCCTGACTAGTCTCCCAGTTCCTGCTGCTGAAAAACATCCCCACAGCATGATGCTGCCACCACGCTTCACTGTAGGGATGGTGCCAGGTTTCCTCCAGACGTGACGCTTGGCATTCAGGCCAAAGAGTTCAATCTTGGTTTCATCAGACCAGAGAATCTTGTTTCTCATGGTCTGAGAGTCCTTTAGGTGCCTTTTGGCAAACTCCAAGCGGGCTGTCGTGTGCCTTTTACTGAGGAGTGGCTTCCGTCTGGCCACTCTACCATAAAGGCCTGATTTGGTGGAGTGCTGCAGAGATGGTTGTCCATCTGGAAGGTTTTCCCATCTCCACAGAGGAACTCTGGAGCTCTGTCAGAGTGACCATCGGGTTCTTGGTCACCTCCCTGACCAAGGCCCTTCTCCCTAGATTGCTCAGTTTGGCCGGGCGGCCAGCTCTAGGAAGGGTCTTGGTGGTTCCAAACTTCTTCCCTTTAACAATGATGGAGGCCACAGTCTTCTTGGGGACCTTCAATGCTGCTGACATTCTTTGGTACCCTTCCCCAGATCTGTGCCTCAACACAATCCTGTCTCGGAGCTCTTCTGACAATTCCTTCGACTTGATGGCTTGGTTTTTGCTTTGACATGCACTGTCAACTGTGGGACCTTATAGACAGGTGTGTGCCTTTCCAAATCATGTCCAATCAATTGAATTTACCACAGGTGGACTCCAATCAAATTGTAGAAACATTTCAAGGATGATCAATGGAAACAGGATTCACCTGAGCTCAACTTCGAGTCTCATAGCAAAGGGTCTGAATAGTTATGTATATAAGGTATTTATGTTGTTTATTTTGAATACATTTGCAAACATTTCTAAAAACCTGTTTTTGCTTTGTCATTATGGGGTATTGTGTGTAGATCGATGAGGAAATAAATCTATTTAATCCATTTTAGAATAAGGCTGTAACGTAACAAAATGTGGAAAAAGGGAAGGGGTCTGAATACTTTCCGAATGCACTGTATAACAACAAAATTAATTGTGGGACTATAGGCTAATGTTAAGCCATAACAGTCAACATACCGATTGCCAAACACCACACTTGCAAAGTCTATGATGAATTCCTCAGCTATCCTACAATGAAAGAATGGAATGTCAGCTGAAAACAATTCAAAACATTTCCATATAATATTTTGATGGTACAGTATGAATCATTGCTTTGAATAATGTAGACTGCCAAGTGTATAGTCAGTGTTTCATATTACGATAAATGCAACAAAAAAAAACACAAAAAAACCTTTGGGGTCATTTACACACTGACATTTTGTAATGTGTGTGATCTAATATACTGCCAGCTCCTTCTGTTATAAACAAATTATGGGGTTCTTGGATTGCCTATTGCAGGGTTCCCCAACTGGCGGCCCGCAGGACGAATTTAGCCCGTGGGTGGTTTTATTTGGCCCCCTAAGTTCTCTGAGCAAATAATAGACTGTAAAAACAGAGAGACACGTGATCGTATATAAATACAAGCAGGGTTTGAAATGATTATGTTTTGGTCAAATATCTGTTTGGGCTTCTTGCGGACAATTTACGGTCTACAAATTATTTGTAATTAGGCCCCCTACCATCCGTGGCTGAATCTAGTTGATGATCCCTGGCCTATTGTAAGTAGTTGTTAAATTCCTTGATATAGGCAAGATAAACTGTGATGCTTCACAGCTTTGAGATGTGATGAGGTGCTGAAGGTGACACATGGAAGAACCTACTTTAGTTCCCTTAGATCTTCTTTGAAGACCTAGAAGAGGTAAAACATTTTATTGTAGACGTTATGAAGGAGTCATGAAATCAGACGTTGTCTAGAAATCCAACCTGAGCATTGTGTATGAGAGTATGGTTTTAATACAACATAACAACAACCAGTTCCTTACCTCTTGTTTTAAAGATGATGTGGGGATACGTAATGCCTCTTTTAGGAGTCTGTACATTCCAGCCACAACATAACTCAACCGTTCTTCAGGGAGGGCAGCATTTTCCGCAATAGCCTTCATTGCTTCTCTGCAGTCCTTGCCCTCAATAGCATTCACCACCGCTGGGAATAGACACAAGAAAAGTGATGTCAAAATGGTTAACGTGTGTGTGTGGACAAACCGGGGAGAGAGAGAGAAATGGAAACTAATTAATTTAACAATATACCTAAGTTAATGGCATGCAATTTAATAACCAACCTTTCAGTATTTTTCTAAACATTTCTTGGTCTAAATCCTTCAGCTGTTTAGCCATGATTTCGATTTCCGATGGTATCCTTCCTCCCAAAAAACTCGAGTCTTTGGATACACCAACCGCGACTTTGGCATGGCTTGAAGACATGATATTTCATATATATAGCTAAACTTCTCGAACACACCTACATTAGTGTAACTTATTTTCAAATGATGATGTATTTGACCTGGCTAGCTGACTAGTTTCTCGGTTTATTTATTCCAGACCATTTCCGTAATGGTAGATCACATGATATGCCTTCTTCTTCTTCTAATGGCGGTCTGCAAATAAACGTTAAAGGTGCCTGCCGCCTCCTACTGTACTGAAGGGTGTGGTCAAGCATAGTTTACAGACTTTAGAATAAAATAAAACAAACAAACACAAAAAAATACATCTATGAAACCCTCCTACCTAATCCTGTACTACTAAGTAAATAAAAAGAGCCCTACTAACTTTTAACAAAAACAAACCCTCCTGCATCTCCATAATCCCTTCCAACCTCCCAACCGAGAGGCATCCATCTGCAGCCCCACAGCATAGCCTGTGATTAATTTCCCTGCACATATCCGGTGTATGTGACAATAAAACATCTTTATAAAAAAAAATCCTTCCTAACTTCCTTTCCTAGCTTCCTTTCATTTCCTCCAATTTTATTCCCTAGATACCTTTCCTAGCTTTTTTTTAATTTTTTTGTCATTTAGCAGACACTCTTATCCAGACACACTTATTATTTTTATTTTATTTTTTCATACTGGCCCCCTGTGGGAATCGAACCCACAACCCTGGCGTTGCAAGCGACATGCTCTACCAACTGAGCTACACGGGGCTACAAAAATAGGTTATATTTATGTAACAGTTTTATTTCCGTCCCTCTCCTCGACCCTACCTGGGCTTGAACCAGGGACCCTCTGCACACATTGACAACAGTCACCCTCGAAGCACTGTTACCCGTCGCTCCACAAAGACCGCGACTCCCTTTATTTCCCTCCTTTCTAGCTTCCTTTCCTCCTTTTCTAACCCTTGATTTTCCTCCTTTCCTAGCTAGGAAAAAAGTTAAGGAAAGGGAGATAGGGAAGGAGGAGAGGAAAGGGAGGTAGGGAACGAGGAAAGGAAAGGGAGAGAGGAAAGGAATATAGGAAAGAAAAGGAGTTCACATGTACACTACCAGTCAAAAGTTTGGACACACCTACTCATTCAAGGGTTTTTCTTTATTTTTACTATTTTTTACATTGTAGAATATTTGAGATTCTTCAAATAGCCACCCTTTGCCTTGATGACAGCTTTGCACACTCTTGGCATTCTCTCAACCAGCTTCATGAGGTAGTCACCTGGAATGTATTTCAATTAACAGGTGTGCCTTCTTAAAAGTTAATTTGTGGAATTGATTTACTTCTTAATGCGTTTGAGTCAATTAGTTGTGTTGTGACATGGTAGTGGGGTTATACAGAGGATAGCCCTATTTGGTAAAAGACCAAGTCCATATTATGGCAAGAACAGCTCAAATAAGCAAAGAGAAATGACAGTCCATCATTACTTTAAGACATGAAGGTCAGTCAATACAGAACATTTCAAGAACTTTTAAAGTTTCTTCAAGTGCAGTCACAAAAACAACCAAGAGCTATGATGAAACTGGCTCTCATGAGGACCACCACAGGAATGAAAGACCCAGAGTTAGCTCTGCTGCAGTGGATAAGTTCATTATAGTCACAGAGTTCAAGTAACAGACACATCTCAACATCAACTGCTCAGAACTGACTGTGTGAATCATGCCTTCATGGTCAAATTGCTGCAAAGAAACCACTACTAAAGGACACCAATAATAAGAAGATACTTGCTTGGGCCAAGAAACACCAGCAATGGACATTAGACCATTGCAAATTTGAGATTTTTGGTTCCATTCGCCGTGTCTTTGTGAGAAGTGGTGTGGGTGAACGGATGATCTCTGCATGTGTAGTTCCCACCTTAAAGCATGGAGGAGGAGGTGCTTTGCTGGTGACACTCTCTGTGATTTATTTAGAATTCAAGGCACACTTAACCAGCATGGCTACCACAGCATTCTGCAGCGATACACCATCCCATCTGGTTGTGTGTTGTGTCATACCAACAGGACAATGACACAACACACCTCCAGGTTGTGTAAGGGCTATTTTACCAAGAAGGAGAGTGATGGAGTGCTGCATCAGATGACCTGGCCTCCACAATCCCCCGACCTCAACCCAATTGAGATGGTTTGGGATGAGTCGGACAGCAGAGTGAAGGAAAAGCAGCCAACAAGTGCTCAGCATATGTGGGAACTCCTTCAAGACTGTTGGAAAAGCATTCCAGGTGAAGCTGGTTGAGAGAATGCCAAGAGTGTGCAAAGCTGTCATCAAGGCAAAGGGTGGCTATTTGAAGAATCTGAAATATAAAATATATTTTGATTTGTTTAACACTTTTTTGGTTACTACATGATTCCATATGTGTTATTTCATAGTTTTGATGTCTTCACTATTATTCTACAATGTAGAAAATAGTAAAAATAAAGAAAAACCCTTGAATGAGTAGGTGTGTATTATGACTGGTACTGTGTAGCAAAGATTTGTATAACCAAACCAAGACAAATTAGTCATAGGGGTCAGAACAAGCAAGGAGGTGGGCAGAGCCAAGCACGAGCTAGCGAGATCCAATTGGAGTGTTCTTGCATATATTTGCATATTTCTGTTAGGAAACGCCTTCGATCAGTTTCAGGAGCTGAGTGAGCAGGTGATGGCTCGGGTGGATATGAGAGGGGATGTAGATAGTATGAATAACTGGGTGTGAACAGCGTTAGTGGGGGCAGCTACTGAGGCTATACCTAAGAGTTCAGGGAGGAGGATGAGGAAAGCAGTCCCATGGTGGACGGAGGAATGTGGGGCAATGGTGAGGATTAGGAACAGGGCATTTAGAGTACTGAAAAGGACGCATAACTTCCAACATCTGATTCAGTATAACCAGGCCCAGGCCATAGTGAGAACTATCCGTCAGGCAAGAGGTCATGTTGGCATCGGTTCTGTGACACCATTGGAAGGGCGACACCTGTGGGAGAAGTGTGGAGGATGATTAAGAGGATGAGTGGGATCAGAAGGGAATGGGATTATCCAGTGTTGACGAGTGGGAAGGATGTGGCAGTAACAGATGAGGAGAAAGCAGAGATGATGGCCAAAGCATTTGTCCAAGTGCATAACTCCGCAAATCTGTCAGAGGAGGGGCAGAGGGGGAGAGAGAACACGAGAGAGGAGCATCCTGGAGGATGTAAATTATGCGTTGAGTGCACCATTTACCAGGGCAGAGGTGAAAAGAGCAATAGGTAAGGGTGGGTTAACTTCACCTGGGAAAGATGAGGTGTGCTATGTTATGTTATGTTGGCCCATCTTAGTGATGAGGCACAGGATAAGGTATTGGTGTTGTACAACAGAGTTAGGGAGGAGGGGAAACTACCAGGCAGTTGGAAGGAGGCAGTAGTGGTACCAATCCGGAAGCCCGGGAAGGATCCAACGAAGCCAACAAGTAATCGGCCAATAGCTTTAACATCACATGTATGTAAGATTATGGAACGTATGATTACGGAGAGGCTAACTTACTTCCTGGAGAGCAGAGGGCTAGTATGCCACATCAGAGTGGGTTCAGGAAGGGTAGGGGAACTATGGATCCAGTGATCTGCTTAGAAGCAGTTGGTAGAGCATGGCGTTTGCAACGCCAGGGTTGTGGGTTCGATTCCCACAAGGGGCCAGTATGAAAAAAAAAAAAAAATGTATGCACTCACTAACTGTAAGTCGCTCTGGATAAGAGCGTCTGCTAAATGACATAAATGTAAAATGTAAATCTCTTTCCTTCTCCCACTGCCCTCTGGGCTTCCTCTCACTACCATATTTGGTAGTGATTGGAAACGCCAAGGGGATGCTTCAGATTTATACGTTAGGTGAAATATCTGTCTCATTGTTCTATTTGTGCTTATAGTAGTATTTTCCGTGACATGCCATTTACATCCTCTTGTGGAGAGGGTAGAACGTCGGACGGAAAGAAGATGGCGGAAGCGGACGATGAAGTGGATTCTGAATGCAATGGCGGTAGAATCAAGGAGAATTGGAGTACTGTCCAAAAGAATGGAAACGGAGTAAAGCAGTGTACAGTGATGAGAATGTCCCTTCGTGTCTATTAGGAGTACGGTTTGTTAATGAGGAGCAGCTGTACAGATTACCAATCTTGAAGAAACCATTTGAGATATCCAAACTGGTGGAGAGTGTTGGGTAAAGTGAAGGCGGGGAGGATCACGAGAGGCGGGCTTGTTTAGATTTGTTTGTGCTTCTGCGGATCAGAAGGAACGTGCGTTGCGTCTCACCCGATCAGTTTGAAGTCTCGTGTGTGTCTCTTAGGAACAGGGGGGTTATATCTGGCGTCTCGTGGGAAGTCGATTTTGAAGAGATTAAAAATATTCCTGGAGTGATTGATGCACGTTGGATGAATCGTATGTTGAAAAAGTGAAGTCTATCTGTTCTTTTGTTTTTTGATATGGAGTCGCTCCCTACTCAAATCCAGTTGGTGTATATAAACTACGGAGTTAGAGCATTTATCCCAAGACAAATGCAGTGTGATAATTATAAAGCTTTTGGTTATTTTTCAAGTGTTTGCAGAAGGGAGAAGCCGAGATGTCCAAGTTGTGGAAAAGATCATATCATGTGTTTTAAAAGTGAGGAACATGTGACATGTTGCAATTGTGGTGTGAACCATGAAGCTACATCTTTCGATTGCCCGACAAGGGTGAAAGAGAATGAGGTGGCCAAAGTCAGGGCTATCCAGAGCATTTCATATGCAGCAGCTGTTAAAAGGGTTGAGAGTTTGAATGGTGCTCCTGAAGAGTCCATGGTGGTGCATAGGCCTTCACTGCAGGATGCAGGGGATGTCTTTCACCAGCAGGACCCTGACATTTGAAAGGTTAATAAGGTGGACTTTGTGGCCTTTAAAGCTATGGTGATTAATGGCACTGCCAAGGTGGAGAGAAGGTCCGGGAAGATCATTGTGGATCACATATCATTGTGGAAGCGGCGGAGCGGTTCCTGGGACTAAAAGATTTCTCGGCGGCTGAGGAGTTACATGGAATATTGTCACAAGCCGTACCACCCTCTCAGGCCCCAGAGCCGGAGAAGGGAGATATGGAGATTTGAAAGAAGAAGGAAGAAGTGGGAGTTTTGTTTTGTTTTTGTCAATGTACTATTTTATTTGGGTGGATTAAGTTAGTTTTCCTATCACATATGGATTTTATTTTTTACCTTGTTTTGGTTTTTCAACCCGTCCAATTGGTGGAGGCAATACACCTTTTTGGGTTGTAGTCTGCGATAAAACCCACAGAAGAAGAAGATGCTTGAGAGGGTAAGAGATGTTGAGGAAGGAGTAGATTCAGTTGTAAGTGAACATTTAAGAACACAATACTATGCTTTCTTGAATATATTCACAGATGGATCTAAGGACCCTAAAACAGGGAGGACAAGAGCAGCTTTTAGTGTTTCTGATTTTAAGGTGGCAGTGACGAAATGAGCAACAAATCATTTATCTGTTTACACAATGGAGTTGTTGGCCATACTATTGGCTGCAGAGTGGGTGGAGGAGGTGTGGCCAGACAGGGTAGTCATCTGCTCCGACTCCTGTGCAGCACTGATGAGTTTAAATTCATGTGTGTCTCAGAGCAGACAGGATGTATTGTATGAGGTTTTGCAGTGTTTGTATAGGGTGAAACATGGGGGTTATTTGTGATGTTCCTCTGGGTACCAGCTCATGTGGGAGTAGAGGGGAATGAGGAAATTGATATTATTGCCAAACAGGCTCTTAAACATCCTAATGTTGAGATGGAATTGTCAATCAGTAAAGCAGAAGCCAAGGGATTAATAAGAACAGTGGTTAAAAAATAAGTGGCAAGGATTGTGGAACAGGGAGAGAAAGGGAAGACGCCTGTATAAGATCCAGGAAAAGGTGGGGGCAGGGAGGTCCTCAGGCAGAGAGAGAAGGGAGGAAAGTGTAGTCCCAAGGCTGAGACTGGGACACACAAGGCACATTGAAAGGGGTGGGGAGACATCTGACTGGGAGGTGTGATCATTGTCAGGAGGAGATGGAGACAGTGGAACATGTTCTTTTTTTTTTTTTTTTTTTTCAATTTAAAGTTTTATTAAGTTTTCAATCAACCAACCAAACACATTCCACATTCACAGATGTGAATAAAAAAAAAAAAAATAAAAATAATAATAATAAAAAATTGTTTTATATATGTATATATATATACATACATATATATACATACATACATACATACATACATATACACACAAATAATAATTATAACAAAATTTAAATTATAGAACTTGCAGCAGCACTATCAAGGTTCTTATTAGCTATTTCCAGCCTTAGCTGAGATGACGAGCCAATAATTAGTTTTTAGGTTTTACAGCACCTTACACAACACGCATCTGCCCATCTCCCTGATTCCCCCATTCACTCTGTCCAATTTGAAATATAGTTGAGTAGTGGAGACCAGAGTCTATCAAACTTGGGCTGTCTCTTGTGGAGGTCATAAGTGAGCTTTTCAAGAGGGAGAAAGTCAACAATCTGGTCAATCCACATTTTAAATGTAGGATAAGTATTAGAGGCCCACAATAGAAGAATACATTTCTTAGCAAAGTATGTAATGGTCATGAGCAAATTTTCTCTGGTGGAACATGTTCTATTTCAGTGCCAGAAATGTGAGTGAAAGGGAGTGATTGTTATTAGATTTGAGGAGTGGAGTAATGGGATTGAAGAGTCAGGATTAAGTGAACTGCTGGGGGAAATCTTCAGGGGATTTAGTATTTAATTATGTCTTTAGTTTCCTTAGGGAGACGAGATTATTGGGTAGGATTTATAACTTCACGGTCTCTGGTCCACACTCCAGTCCAGTTGGTGGCGGTAATGCACCTTAAAGTTGGTTGCCAACCGCCATATAAAATCCACAGAAGAAGGACAAGAAGACGAATCTACTTCCTATTTTCAAGGGGGCGCAGTAGTTTTCAAAGCGTCGAATTGACGTGTGTGTGATTGCGAAGTTGCGTAGTGTTGTCAAAAGAATTTGCTCGGCGAGGGGAATTTGCAAATGGAGGAGGAAATAACTGTTTTTCTCTGAACAACGGCAGGTTTGTTGCTTGGTCAACTTCTTTCGACCTGGCAAGATGTTCTGCGGCAAATAATGTTGGGCGTATTATTTGCTAATGGATTATCTCGAACAAGCCAGCTAACGTTAGCTCTCTGCCTTTTCGATTTCGCAGAGGATTTAGCTAACGCTAACGAGGCCTCGTTGTTTGCCTTCAAAATTGTTGTATTTTTTGTCCCAAAAGAACTAGCTAACTAGATAATTAGCATGTACCATGTCGTTAACACTTGAAATGAACAAGTTAGCTATCTACTGTAAAGTTACCTTGTTAGTTAACTGACGCTAACCAACTCGGAAGCTTGCTTGGGAAGCTAGCTAACTAGATAGTTAGCCGTTGTTAGCAATGTTTTGTTAACAGACCGCTAGTCGCTACGCTTGCCAACCAAGCTCAGATAGATTCACTATATGTACAAAAGAATGTGGACACCTTAAAATGAGTGGATTCGGCTATTTCAGCTACACCCATTGCCGACAGGTGTATAAAGTCGAGCACACAGCCATGCAATCTCTAGACAAACATTGGCAGTAAAATGGATTTACTGATCTGAAGAGCAGTGACTTTCAACGTGGCACCTTTCCAACAAGTCAGTTCGTCAAATTTCTGCCCTGCTAGAGCTGCCCAGGTCAACTGTAAGTTATGTTATTATGAAGTGGAAATGCCTAGGAACAACAACGGCTCAGCTGCGAAGTGGTAGGCCACACAAACAGGACCACCGAGTGCTGAAGCAGGTAGCGTGTGAAAGTTGTATTTTGCAACACTCACTACCGATTTCCAAACTGCCTCTGGAAGCAATGTCAGCGCAAGAACTGTTCGTTGGGAGCTTCATGAAATGGGTTTCCATGGCCGAGCAGCCGCACACAAGCCTAAGATCACCATGAGCAATGCCAGGCGTCGGCTGGAGTGGTGTAAACTCGCCGCCATTGGACTCTGGAGTGATGAATCACGCTTCACCATCTGACGGTCCGACAGACTAATCTAGGTTTGGTCGAATGCCAGGAGAACACTACCTGCCCCAATGCATAGTGCCTACTGTAAAGTTTGGTGGACGAGGAATAATAGTCTGGGGCTGTTTTTCATGGTTCGGGCGAGGCCCTTTAGTTCCATTGAAGGGAAATCTTAACGCTACAGCATACAATGACATTCTAGACGATTATGTGCTTCCAACTTTGGCAACAGTTTGGGGAAGGCCCTTTCCTGTTTCAGCATGACAATGCCCCTGTGCACAAAGCGAGGTCCAAACAGAAATGGTTTGTTGAGATCGGTGTGGAAGACCTTGACTGGCCTGCACAGAGCCCTGACCTCAACCTGATCAAACGCCTTTGGGATTAATTGGAACGCTGACTGCGAGCCAGGCCTAATCGCCCAACATCAGTGCCCAACCTCACTAATGCTCTTGTGGCTGAATGGAAGCACGTCCCTGCAGCAATGTTCCAACATCTAGTTGAAAGCCTTCCCAGAAGAGTGGAGGCTGTTATAACAGCAAAGGAGGGACCAACTCCATATTAAGGCCCATGAATTTGGAATGAGATGTTCGACGAGCAGGTGTCCACATACTTTTGGTCATGTAGGTAGGTAGCTAATCTGCTTAATTATCCAAGTGAAAGGAGCCTTGTTTAACATTTGTCCAGCTAGCTAGCTAGCTAACTATGAAACATTTTCTAATTACACTTATTTCCCACTGTTTTTCTCAGGTGGAGAAAACAAAATGTCTGAGGCTCGTTACGAAAAATTCCTCTCTCCCGAGGAGCACTTTCCACTACTGCTGTCTCAGCGAGGGAACATCAGTGAGGCAGGCACATTGGATGTCAGTGACTTTGGCTGTCAGTTATCCTCTTGTCACCGGACAGACCCTCTACGCCGCTTCCATAGTAACAGGTAAGGCTGATGGCTAGCTACTTGTTTTTGACTTGCATTCCACTTTTTAAATCAAGACAGTATTGTAACAGGCTAAACTAACCACACCAAAAATGTCCCTTTTGTTGACTGTTTTCAGATGGAACCTGACTTCTTGTGGAACCAGTGTGGCCAGCTCAGAATGCAGTGAGGAGCTGTTCTCCTCCGTCTCCGTGGGAGACCAGGAGGACTGCTACTCCCTTTTGGACGACCAGGAGTTCACCTCCTTTGACCTGTTCCCGGAGGGCAGCGTCTGCAGTGACGTGTCTTCCTCTATCAGCACTTACTGGGACTGGTCAGACAGCGAATTTGAGTGGCAGGTATGTCCCCCCCAATGTGATAACATAAATATTATTGTCGAGTTATGTTGGTGGTTGTTCCATTTGGGTTAATAATGTTTTTTGTTTATCCACAGTTGCCTGGAAGTGACATAACCAGTGGAAGTGATGTGCTCTCTGACATCATACCCAGTGTTCCCAGCTCCCCTTGCCTCTCCTCCAATAGAAAGACCAAACCACATAGAAATTTGGATGAGCTCCCCTGGAGTGCTATGACCAATGATGAACAGGTATGGAGACCAGCTCTCAAATTCACAATGCCAGGAATTATAAAGCAGTGGTTGCAGATGTTACATGCTTTATCTCTCTATCAGGTGGAATATATTGAATATCTGAGCAGAAAGGTCAGCACAGAGATGGGGCTACGAGAGCAGTTGGACATCATCAAGATCATTGACCCGTGTGCACAGATATCCCCTACAGACAGCGAGTTCATAATTGAGCTCAACTGCCTGACAGATGAGAAACTGAAACAGGTGAGTGAATGGCACAATATGACAACATTTTTAAATTGTGACACTGTGTGCTGTGCAGTGTACTCTGATCTAAATAAATAAATAATTAAACTTTTCAGATGTGTGAAGCTTTAACATTCCTATCCTCCAGGTGAGGAACTACATCCGGGAGCACAGTCCGCGGCAGCGCCCCAGCAGCACCCGGGACAGCTGGAAGAGGAGTGGCCACAGCAGTGCTAGCACTAGTGGGGTGAGTGGGGCAAGCAGCAGCAATGCTAGCTTGGTCAGCAGTGCCAGCAGCTCCACCGGATCCACAGGCTCCACCGGCAACTCCACGTCCAACTGCAGCACAGCTAACATCAGCCGTGCCCACAGCGACGGGAACCTGTCCAGTGCCGCTGAGCGCATCCGTGACTCCAAGGTAAGGAAGGGGTTTCACTCTGACTGTTAAAGTTCACTATGGCTTTTGAATAGCTCCTCAAGTTTTCAAAACAGATTAAACAGCTACTTAAATCTAAATAGCAATTCGACCCAAAGCAACAACATACAGTGCATTCGGAAAGTATTCAGACCCCTGGACTTTTAACACATTTTGTTACATTACAGCCTTATTCTAAAATGGAGTAAATCGTTTTTTCCCCCTCATAAATTACACACAATACCCCATAATGACCAAGAAAAACAGGGAATTTGATTTTTCTTTGCAAAAAAAATACATATATACTGAAATATCACATTTACATAAGTATTCAGACCCTTTACTCAATACTTTGTTGAAGCACCTTTGGGCGCAATTACAGCCTCTAGTCTTGTGTATGACGCTACAAGCTTGGCACACCTGTATTTGGGGAGTTTCTCCCATTCTTCTCTGCATATCCTCTCAAGCTCTGTCAGATTGACCATCTGCAGAGATGGTCAATCGTATTCAAGTCCGGGCTCTGGCTGTGCCACTCAAGGACATTCAAAGACTTGTCCCGAAGCCACTCCTGCGTTGTCTTGGCTGTGTGCTTAGGGTCGTTGTCCTGTTGGAAGGTGAACCTTCTCCCCAGTCTGAGGTCCTGAGTGCTCTGGAGCAGGTTTTCATCAAGGATCTCTCTGTACTCCGCTCCGTTCATCTTTCCCTCGATCCTGACTAGTGTCCCAGTCCCTACCGCTGAAAAACATCCCCACACCATGATGCTGCCACCACCATGCTTCACCGTAGGGATGGTGCCTGGTTTCCTCCAGATGTGACGCTTGGCATTCAGGCCAAATAGTTCAATCTTGGTTTCATCAGACCAGAGAATCTTGTTTCTCATGGTCTGAGAGTCTTTAGGTGCCTTTTGGCAAACTCCAAGCGGGCTGTCATGTGCCTTTTACTGAGGAGTGGTTTCCGTCTGGCCACTACCATAAAGGCCAGATTGTTCCAGTGCTGCAGAGATGGTTGTCCTTCTGGAAGGTTCTCCCATTTCCACAGTGGAACTCTGGAGCTTTGTCATAGTGACCATCGGGTTCTTGGTCACCTTCCTGACCAAGGCCCTTCTCCCCTGATTGCTCAGTTTGGCCGGGCGGCCAGCTCTAGGAAGAGTCTTGGTGGTTCCAAACTTCTTCCATTTAAGAACGATGGAGGGCACTGTGTTCTTGGGGATCTTCAATGCTGCAAACCTTTTTTGGTACCCTTCCCCAGATCTGTGCCTCGACACAATCCTGTTTCGGAGCTCTACGGATAATTATTTCGACCTCATGGCTTGGTTTATGCTCTGACATGCACTGTGGGACCTTTATATAGACAGGTGTGTGCCTTTCCAAATCATGTCCAATCAATTGAATTTACCACAGGTGGACTCCAATCAAGTTGTAGAAACATCTGAAGGATGATCATTGGAAACAGAATGCACCTGAGCTCAATTTCTAGTCTCATAGCAAAGGGTCTGAATACTTATGTAAATATGGTTTTTCTGTTTTATTTTTAATAAATGTGCAAAAATGTCTACCGACCTGTTCGCTTTGTCATGATGAGGTATTGTGTGTAGATTGAGGAACAAAAACAATGTAATCCATTTTAGAATATGGCTGTAACATAACAAAATGTGGAAAACGTCAAGTGGTCTGAATACTTTCCGAATGCACTGTATATCAGAGCTAAGCCAATTTCTCTTAGACAACCGGAGTTCAAGAAATATTACTTCCAAAATGTATTTAAAAAACTGACAGAAGTGGGTGATGCTCTATCCTCCCTAGAGAATTGGACCAATGATTTGGAAATCTCCCTCGACAGGGAAGCTCAGAAGAAAGTATTTACCAGCGCCAACAGCATCTCGCGTAATACAAAAATAAATCTTATCCAGTATTACGCAGTATTTTATGTTTAACTAGCTTTAATCTCCCTAGAATAGATTTTAAAGAAGTCCACCAGGGAGGAGTATTTAGATGACGTAATTTTGCTTCCCTCTTCTTCCTGTAATTGTATGCCTGGTCGAGTAGTTCGCTTAAAAATGCTACAAACTGTGCTAGTATACTAGCTACTGAACCACGGATGGGAGGCACAGACAAGTGGAAAAAATAAACTGACACTGAAACGGAGGATGTTGACAAGCCAGAGGGAAAGCGGGAGACCTGCATTGTGAAAAAACACAATGACCGAACGTTCACTTTGGAGGCTGCAGTGAGGTTCAAAAGTATTTAAACAGTTTGTTTTAGCTCTACTCCAGCACGTTGGCTTTGAAATGATACAATGAATGAGGTTACATTCATGTAGAAGTGTTTAGAAGCATATTCTAAAAAATACCCTCAAATTAAAGCTGACAGTCTACATTTTAACCTCATAGTCATCGTGTCATTTAAAATCCAAAGTGCTGGAGTACAGAGCCAAAACAACCAAAAATATGTCACTTATTGGGACATCAATGTATATATTCCTCCTTGCATAATTATTGCAGTCACCTCGTGGTGGGAATTACTCTACACGAGGTATTCAAATGGATTCCTATTTGATATGTACACACTCCTACAGTTTAGTAGTTTTGCGCAGCGATAACGGGGAAATATTCTCAATGTAGGTGACCTACTGTAAGATGAGGTGACCAGATATAATGGAAAATGGATCCCCTGCCTCAAGTAAAAACCATTTAGCCTACATTTGAGTCATGGAACCGTAGCCTGAGCCTTTGTTGTGTGCTTGGTGTGCCACTGCCACACATCTCTTATCTTCTTGTCCTATTTGTTGTAGAAACGCTCTAAGCAGAGGAAGCTGCAGCAGAAAGCCCTGCGTAAGAGACAGCTGAAGGAACAGAGACAGGCCCGCAAGGAGAGGCTGAGTGGCCTGTTCCTCAACGAAGAGGTGCTGTCACTCAAAGTCACAGAGGAGGAGGACCGTGTAGAAGACGTGGTCGATGTCTTGATGTGACAAGAATGAATGAGTCAGTGTTCCCTCTAAGCCTCACAATAACATCCTCCAGTAATGTCACAGCTGGTCCCACACCCAGTCATATTGAAGCAAAGCTGCCCAATTGGGACCGTTCTTGAGTTCTAATTGATGTCCTTAGATCTGGACGCCTGCACACACAAAAATGATTCTAGTTCTCTTTTTTTCTCCATAGCTTTATGTCTTAATGTATGAACATTGGGAGTAGGATTCTGCTGAGGCTAATATTGAATGTGAGTATTCAAGTAAAACGACCAAATGTAACTTAAAATAAGCTTAAACTTCCTAATTCTTTGTGGTTCATTTAATCTTGAAGGCATAGAGGGAACACTGAGTCACTGCATGGGAAGTCATCACCATTGGCATAATGAGTTATAAATGCTTAACACAGCTTATTTTGTTTTTATTTAATTTGTATAAATGCAGTTAATCATAAAGAACAGTTTTTACATCAAGTTTCCCCTTTAAGTTAAAATATGAAGGCTTACACATTCATAAATGCAACATGGTTACATGGTAATACAGTGTTGGCCTCTAACAACTCTCCATAGCTTTTTCTTTTCCATGTCTTTTGTGCATGGAGTCTAGGGTTGAGCATGACATGTAAAATAATGCAGATATCCATTGCATTGCACACGGGAGATATTTTTATGTTGCTGAATGACATGAAAATGTCTATGACTGCATTGTCTTTGAATGGGAAGGTATTTCATGATGTCCTGGCTTACTCCTTGGCTATTGGTCCTATCCTGTAGAACGCTTTATTCTTTAAACTTCAACAGGTAACACTAACTGCTGTACATTAGAAAATGTATTTACCTTAGAAGCATTAGTTTGCTTAGTCTTTTCTGTATAAAGTTATGCTTTTAAGTAATTCTGAAAACAATATAGATCAACTAGATATTGTGAGTATATCTTTATTTTGAATGAAAGAGATGATTAATAGCCATGAAACAACTATTTCTGTAATTGTTGTACCATTCATTCTGGGGAGGAAAGGTCAACGGACCAAGATGGGACGTATTTGTTGCTGCTTTCTTGGAAGTCCAATTATATAAGTTGTTGTGTATGTCACAACCATGTATTTACTGACCTGCCCGAGGTGTTGGAAATATAGTGTTGCAGAACAGAAGCATACCAGAACTCAGTTTCAATAGTAATGTAACGCAGAATGAGGAATAAATTGCCATCGATGCATCATATTTTCCTTTGTTTCTTTTAGTTTTCATTAGAGGTATCACCTTTATCAATTGATAAACTACTTCTAGATTGGCTTTTGCAATGCAAATGGCCACAAGGGGGCAATGTCTTCCAAGATGTGTTCACACCTTGACCATTAACAAGGGCAATATACAACATCTCTTGAGACAAATTAGAATTACACAACCGAAATGTATTCACAAAAAACATGCTAAATATGACTTTATTACACCTCATTTTACTAGCCTATACTTAGTCATTACATAAACAGGTTTCTTCTGTGGCTGACATTTGTTAAGACTAAAATAGTGTATTTCATTGTGTAACAGGATGCGGTGGCTAAGGAGTTCATCATTTGAGCTTCATTGCAAATCAATTTCCTCTGTCATAGACTGAAGGTCAATAGGTAGTGCATTAGCTAGAAAAAATACATCATAGGTATAAACCGAGACAACTGTTCTAAAGGGGCAGATAGTGAGTAAATGAAGGCGATGGAATTGATCTGTGATTAATCCGTGTGTTAGTGACTCCTCACTGTCCAGGGTACATTAGAAATGTGTTTGTTTAGCTCCATTAGCGTTATCTGGAAGAGATACAAGCACATACTCAGCTAGACCGTAATGGTGATGGATGTTCCATATCATATTGGATCTTTTAAAAAATGGTTATTCCAACCACTAACTAAAAATAGTGGATGCTAAATTATCTGATTTAAACTTAGCTCTTATAATGTAATACTTAAGATGTTAATCGAGAAAGTAATCGTTCATGTGGCGTATCTGACGTGTACTGTTTTAGAGGCTTATTTCCCTGAAATGGATGCCTGAAACTCAATCAAATCTGGTTATTTTGTCTGCACTTGGAATAAAGTCTGGCAAGTATATCCAGAGAGGAAGAGACGAAGCGAAATGATTTACTCCACCCAAAATATGTCCATGTAAGATAAGCCTTTTTTTGTACGGAGGTCTATGAGAGAGTGTCTAATTACGTCAGTCCTATTTGATGGAATATACGTTTTGTAATGTTTAGGCTGTTACGAATGTACTGAAATAAGGAGATGCATGTGACATTCCGGCAACTTTGAGAAAAAAGACTACTGTAAATTAGATGTGCCTGTTGTTCACAGGTGAGTAGGAGGGCTGGGAATTGCCAGGGACCTCACGATACGATATTATCACGATACTTAGGTGCCGATAAGATATGTATTGCGATTCTATATGTATTGCGGTTCGATACTGCGATTTTGATTTATTGTTCAAAACATATTGTTCACTATGTCTGCTGCAGAGGGACAAGAGAGAGCTATAATAAAAATGAGTTTTGATCAGTCATGAAAATAAAAGTGCTGAAAACGTTGGCTCGCCATTTCAAAAAGAAGATTGAGGCCAAGCTATAGGTGGAGAAAGTTTTGCTGCAGGTACAGCCAACTAGCGCTAGCTAACGTTAACTACCTAGCAAAAATAAATAACGGGCTGAGAATGGCTGCAACAGGGAATGGGACCGTTACACAGCCATCGACACTGCTACTGCTACACCAGTGCATCAAGCCTTATATCATGCACAATGTAATGTCCTTTTTAATCAATTCTCTGTTGACCCAAGCAATTTAATAGTATACAATTTATGGAGCAAGAAGTGCTGAAGAACTGATGTAATAATAGGGCAACTCATGTGGCAGCGAACCGATGATGCCAGAGCATGAACTTCTAGTGGTTATTTATACTTACAAAGAAACATTGAAATCTTACTGAGAAAGGACGGGCCCTCTCAACTCACCACATCCTCTTTTCCAAGAAAAGCATCAGATACAGTACTGATGCACCCACTATTTCTCTGAATTGCGCTGAGGGAGGCAAAGTCTGCATAATTTGAGAAAATATCCTGTATGAGAACAACCAATTGCCAATTGTGGGGATCTAGATGTGATGACTAGCTTAGAAAGAATGCATTAATGATTAAACATAAAAGGTTTGTACTGTACTGATATAAATTGTTTCACATAACAAGCTGTGATTCATGTGAGGAACGTTAGGGGGTAGGATGAGATAAGACTTGTATTTCTCACAGACACGAACACTGCCTCTTTGTGATCTGTGAACCGCGCTCAAGGACGTAGGTACAGGGGAACAGTGTCTATGGGTGCTGACTCTACAGGTTGTGATGAAAACAACTTATGCCTGGCAACAGTGTGCAACAGTGGAGCGCCAAGGGACTGGGACCAGCCTGTGCGCCAACGGATAGGCTGAGTAAGTCTAAACCACGCTCAGTCTCTACTCTGATAGTTCCCGCTCCCTGCTGGGCCTATCTCTGTCAGAGTATTTGAAGAAGAACTCATAACAATGGCTTAGTTCTCTGAGTGCCCTGCGTGGTATTTCAGTGGACCCGTATATACGAACATCATATTTACCATTGAAGTATTTTGCATTAATTAAAATACTAGTCTATTTTAGAAGTCGTGTTGACCTCTTTTGTTCCTAATACCAGATTTGAATTGACGCAACTTAACACAATGCAGCCGCTACCTTTCTTTTCTGTAGTGTACACAGACAGACTGTCCTGTAGAAATAAGTATTTGGTCTTGCACCATTGCCTTTCTGATGGTTGTATTTGTCCCCATCCAAGAGAATATGTGAATCAGAGCCACAAATTGGTCCCTGTGCTTCTTACTGAATACTAAGCACACCAGCAATGTTTACAACCCTAATCGGAAGAAATAAACTTCCTATTCATTTATTTATTTCAGGAGAACATAGTCAAGCTTGTGTAGGAACACTAGTGCTGATGATATCAGTTAGAGCTGATAGGGTGAATCGGCAGAGATGCGGATGAGTAAAGTTTATTTTGAAAATGTGGTCGTGAACGTCAGTCTCTTCACCCATGAAACATTTGAATGGCCCCTGTCTGCATTGCTAGTTGAACAATAATGGTCAACAATATGTGTGTTATTTGTCTGGTAAGATAAGGCAGGACCTACAGTGGGGAGAACAAGTATTTGATACACTGCCGATTTTGCAGGTTTTCCTACTTACAAAGCATGTAGAGGTCTGTAATTTTTATCGTAGGTACACTTCAACTGTGAGAGACGGAATCTAAAACAAAAATCCAGAATATCACATTGTATGATTTTTAAGTAATTAATTTGCATTTTATTGCATGACATAAGTATTTGATCACCTACCAACCAGTAAGAATTCCGGCTCTCACAGACCTGTTAGTTTTTCTTTAAGAAGCCCTCCTGTTCTCCACTCATTACCTGTATTAACTGCACCTGTTTGAACTCATTACCTGTATAAAAGACACCTGTCCACACACTAAATCAAACAGACTCCAACCTCTCCACAATGGCCAAGACCAGAGAGCTGTGTAAAGACATCAGGGATAAAATTGTAGACCTGCACAAGGCTGGGATGGGCTACAGGACAATAGGCAAGCAGCTTGGTGAGAAGGCAACAACTGTTGGTGCAATTATTAGAAAATGGAAGAAGCTCAAGATGACGGTCAATCACCCTCGGTCTGGGGCTCCATGCAAGATCTCAACTCGTGGGGCATCAATGATCATGAGGAAGGTGAGGGATCAGCCCAGAACTACACGGCAGGACCTGGTCAATGACCTGAAGAGAGCTGGGACTACAGTCTCAAAGAAAACCATTAGTAACAAACTACGCGTTGGATTAAAATCCTGCAGCGCACGCAAGGTCCCCCTAGAACCTAAAAGGGTTATTTGGCTGTCCCCATAGGAGAGCCCTTTGGAGAACCCTTTTTGGTTCCAGGTAGAACCCTTTTGAGTTCCATGTAGAACCTTTTTCACAGTGGGTTCAACGTGGAACCAAAAAGGGTTCTACCTGGAACCCAAAAGGGTTCTCCTATGGGGACAGCCGAAGAACCCTTTTGGAACCCTTTTTTCTAAGAGTGTAGTATATCGCCAAATGAAACCCCAAAACACATAGACCCCTCTCCCACATGGTGTTAGGGTTGGGTTTAGTCTGTCCTAACCATTACCAAGATGTGTAGCTATGCAAGTGTTTTTCAGATCAGCCACTGAGTAAATCCGAATTCTAATCTCTACACATTACATAACATACAGTGCCTTTGGAAAGTATTCAGACCCCTTGACTTTTTCCACATTTTGTTACGTTACAGCCTTATTCTAAAATTGATTAAATTGTTTTTTTTCCCCTCATCAATCTACAAACAATACCCCATAATGACAAAGCTAAAAACAGGCTTTTATAAATGTTTGCTAATTTATTACAAATAAAAAACAGAAATATCACATTTACATAAGTATTCAGACCCTTTACTCAGTACTATGTTGAAGCACCTTTGGCAGTGATTACAGCATCAAGGCTTCTTGGGTATGATGCTACAAGCTTGGCACCTGTATTTGGGGAGTTTCTCCCATTCTTCTCTGCAGATCCTCTCAAGCTCTGTCAGGTTGGATGGCGAGCGTCGCTGCACAGCTATTTTCAGGTCTCTCCAGAGATGTTTGATCGAGTTCAAGTCCGGGCTCTGGCTGGGCCACTCAAGGACATTCAGAGACTTGTCACGAAGCCACTCCTGCGTTGTCTTGGCTGTGTGCTTAGGGTCGTTGTCCTGTTGGAAGGTGAACCTTTGAGGTCCTGAGTGCTCTGGAGCAGGTTTTCATCAAGGATCTCTCTGTACTTTGCTCCGTTCATCTTTCCCTCGATCCTGACTAGTCTCCCACTCCCTGCCGCTGAAAAGCATCCCCACAGCATGATGCTGCCACCACCATGCTTCACCGTAGGGATGGTGCCAGGTTTCCTCCAGACGTGACGCTTGGCATTCAGGCCAAAGAGTTCAATCTTGGTTTCATCAGACCATAGAATCTTGTTTATCATGGTCTGAGAGTCTTTAGGTGCCTTTTGGCAAACTCCAAGCGGGCTGTCATGTGCCTTTTACTGAGGAGTGGCTTCCGTCTGGCCACTCTACCATAAAGGCCTGATTGGTGGAGTGCTGCGGAGATGGTTGTCCTTCTGGAAGGTTCTGCCAACTTCACAGAGGAACTCTAGAGCTCTGTCAGAGTAACCATCGGGTTCTTGGCACCTCCCTGACCAAGACCCTTCTCCCCTGATTGCTCAGTTTGGCCGGGCGGCCAGCCCTAGGAAGAGTCTTGGTGGTTCCAAACTTCTTCCCTTTAAGAATGATGGAGGCCACTGTGTTCTTGCTGCAGACATTTTTTAGTACCCTTCAATGCTGCAGACATTTTTTGGTACCCTTCCCCAGATCTGTGCCTCGACACAATCCTGTCTCGGAGCTCTACGGACAATTCCTTCGACCACATGGCTTGGTTTTTGCTCTGACATGCACTGTAAATTGTAGGACCTTATATAGACAGGTGTGTGCCTTCCAAATCATGTCCAATCAATTGAATTTACCACAGGTGGACTCCAATCAAGTTGTAGAAACATCTCAAGGATGGCAATGGAAACAGGATGCACCTGAGCTCAATTTCAAGTCTCATAGCAAAGGGTCTGAATACTTATGTAAATCGGGTATTTCTGTTGTTCATTTTTAATAAATTTGCAAAAATGTCTAGCAACCTGTTTTCACTTTGTCATTATGGGGTATTGTGTGTAGATTGCTGAGGAAAATGTTTTATTTAATCAACTTTAGAATAAGGCTGTAACGTAACAAAATGTGGAAAAAGTCAAGGGGTCTGAATACTTATCGAAGGCATTGTATGTCCGTCTCAACAGAAGACTTAAATACAGTACCTGCTGAAGTTTGGATGGATAAGAAGATGTCCACACATTGAGGCCCAGGCCAGAGTGCCAATACCCAGGGTTCCCACAGAGTCAGGCCCATGCAGAGAGGCTGTGTGTGGGGCTCCCCCCAGGATGGCTCCACCACAGAGGCCTGGTGCAGGGGGACATCCAGGAACAGGCCCAGGGGGTTGGTTAGAGGTAGCCCAGGGACCGAGCTCAACACGCCAGCCTTCTCAAGCTTACGCCACTTGGCTCTTCGGTTTTGGAACCACACCTGGACACAGACAGGTGTAGCAAGTGGAGAAACGTCAGGAGCCTATTGATGGATCCATGACTGACTACTATGTGTTGCAGCCTCACACTAAATTAGAATCAGCTCCAAGGCCTACATTTACATTACATTTTAGTCATTTAGCAGACGCTCTTATCCAGAGTGACTTACAGAAGCAATTAGGGTTAAGTGCCTTGCTCAAGGGCACATCGACAGATTTTTTACCTAGTCGGCTCGGGGATTAGAACCAGCGACCTTTCGGTTACTGGCACAACGCTCTTACCCACTAAGCTACCTGCTTACAGTATAAAGGGCAAAAACTAATGATTGAGTATCTGTACCTGGACCCTTGCCTCCGTCAAAGTTAGACGTGTAGCCAGTTCTTCTCTAGGGAAATAAAGAGCCATTGCTCTATGAACGGTTTGAACAGTCTTTTAAAATAAAACATGATTGAAAGGTGAGGTATGTCGTATACTTCATAGTAACAAAACCCCCACTATTAATGTCAATAACCAGTAGTAATAGCATAATGTTATTACCTGGCAAAAATGTCTGGATAATGAGATTTGAGGAAAGCCCTCTCCAGTTGGTCCAGCTGGAAATCAGTAAAGGTGGTTCGATAACGTTGTTGCTTCGTTGAGTTGAAGTTGTGTCCACCTAGACTTTCTGCTTTCAGCTGCTCTGTTTGGTCTCTGCTGGAGCCTACCTCTGTCTCTTTACTAGTATATACTGGGAGCTCCTTCCTGGTATCTTCTTGTAGCTGTGAAGTCTGTTGTTTGTTCTCCTCTGGAGCAATATGATGTGTTATTGACATCTGCTTGGACTTGTTGGATTGACTCTCAGTCCCTTTGAGAGATGTACGGCCCATGGCATCCACTGTTTGGTAAAAGTACACAGTTAGTCATCTATCTATCTTCACTGACATTTTCAACCTCTCCCTGACCGAGTCTGTAATACCTACATGTTTGAAGCAGACCACCATAGTCCCTGTGCCCAACAAAGCGAAGGTAACCTGCCTAAATGACTACCGCCCCGTAGCACTCACGTCGGTAGCCATGAAGTGCTTTGAAAGGCTGGCCATGGCTCACATCAACACCGTCATCCCGGAAACCCTAGATCCACTCCAATTCACAAACCGTCCCAACAGATCCACAGATGACGCAATCTCAATCGCACTCCACACTGCCCTTTCCCACCTGGACAAAAGGAACACCTATGTGAGAATGCTGTTCATTGACTACAGCTCAGTGTTCAACACCATAGTGCCCACAAAGCTCATCACTAAGCTAAGGACCCTGGGACTAAACACCTCCCTCTGCAACTGGATCCTGGACATCCTGATGGGCTGCCCCCAGGTGGTAAGGGTAGGCAACAACACATCTGCAACGCTGATCCCCAACACGGGGGCCCCTCAAAGCTTGGTCGCAAATGGGTCTTCCAAATGGACAATGACCCCAAGCATACGTCCAAAGTTGTGGAAAAATGGCTTAACGACAACAAAGTCAAGGTATTGGAGTGGCCATCACAAAGCCCTGATCTCAATCCTATAGAACATTTGTGGGCAGAACTGAAAAAGCGTGTGCGAGCAAGGAGGCCTACAAACCTGACTCAGTTACACCAGCTCTGTCAGGAGGAATGGGCCAAAATTCACCCAACTTATTGTGGGAAGCTTTTTTTTTTTTTACCTTTATTTAACCAGGTAAGCCAGTTGAGAACAAGTTCTCATTCACAACTGCGACCTGGCCAAGATAAATCAAAGCAGTGCGATAAAAACAACAACAACAACACAGAGTTAAACAAAACGTACAGTCAAAAACAAATGTAGTAAGTTATGGAGGTAAGGCAATAAATAGGCCATAGTGCAAAATAATTACAATTTAGTGTTAACACTGGAGAGATAGATGTGCAGAAGATGATGTGCAAATAGAGATACTGGGGTGCAAATGAGCAAAATAAGGAACAATATGGGGATGAGGTAGTTGGGTGGGCCAATTACAGATGGGCTGTGTACAGGTGCAGTGATCGGTAAGCTGCTCTGACAACTGATGCTTAAAGTTAGAGAGGGAGATAAGAGTCTCCAGCTTCAGAGATTTTTGCAGTTAGTTCCAGTCATTGGTAGCAGAGAACTGGAAAGAATGGCGGCCAAAGGAGGTGTAGAGCATGGCGTTTGCAACGCCAGGGTTGTGGGTTCGATTCCCACGGGGGGCCAGTATGAAAATGTATGCACTCACTAACTGTAAGTCGCTCTGGATAAGACCGTCTGCTAAATGACTAAAATGTAAATGTAAAATGTGTTGGCTTTGGGGATGACCAGTGAGATATACCTGCTGGAGCGCATACTACGGGTGGGTGTTGCTATGGTGACCAATGAGCTAAGATAAGGCTGGGATTTGCCTAGCAGTGATTTATAGATGACCTGGAGCCAGCTACCCGAAACGTTTGACCAAAGGTAAACAATTTAAAGGCAATGCTACCAAATACTAATTGAGTGTATGTAAACTTCTGACCCACTGGGAATGTGATGAAATAAATAAAAGCTTAAATAATTAATTCTCCCTACTATTATTCTGACATTCCACATTCTTAAAATAAAGTGGTGATCTTAACTGACCTAAGACAGGGAAGTTTTACTAGGATTAAATGTCAGGAATTGTGAAACTTTACTTTAGTTTATTTAGTAAATATTTTCTTAACTCTATTTCTTGAACTGCATTGTTGGTTAAGGGCTTGTAAGTAAGCATTACACTGTAAGGTCTACACCTGTTGTATTTGGCGCATGTGACAAATAAAATTGGATTTGATTTTGATTCATGTAAGAATTATTTTCACCTTTTTTAGAAATTTCACCATTAGTTTACTCCAATTGGGAAAGGGGTGGTGGGGTTGGAAAGTAATGAAGGGAAATATAATTTAAAAAAGGATATGTGTGTGTGTAGATGTCACGATCGTCGTAATGAGTGGACCAAGGCGCAGCGTGAAATGCGTACATCTTTTATTGAGTACTATTAACAATAACAAAACGAAACGTGAAGTCCTCGGTCATAAACACAAACCTACACGGAACAAGATCCCACAAAAGACAAGTGCACAACACGCTGCCTAAGTATGGTTCCCAATCAGAGACAATGAGCCACAGCTGTCTCTAATTGAGAACCACCTCGGCCAACATAGAAAACACATAAACTAGAACAAGAACATAGAAAACGAAACATAGAACCTAACACCCAGAAACTAACACATAGAAACTAACACCCTGTCTCAACATATAAAAGTCCCCAGAGCCAGGGCGTGACAGTATATGTATGTATGTATGTATATATATATATGATATATATATGTGTGTGTGTGTGTATGTATGTGTATGTGTATGTGTATGTATGTATATATATATATATATATATATATATATATATATATATATATACTTGCGAGAGAAAAAAACATATGGGGGATTGGAAGTGATGCAGACAATTACATTGATGGAAGTTACACTCTATCTGAAATATTATAGCTGATCTACCCCCTAAAAAAATATATTGTAGACCTGCACAAGGCTGGGATGGGCTACAGGACAATAGGCAAGCAGCTTGGTGAGAAGGCAACAACTGTTGGCGCAATTATTAGAAAATGGAAGAAGTTCAAGATGACGGTCAATCACCCTCGGTCTGGGGCTCCATGCAAGATCTCACCTCGTGGGGCATCAATGATCATGAGGAAGGTGAGGGATCAGCCCAGAACTACACGGCAGGACCTGGTCAATGACCTGAAGAGAGCTGGGACCACAGTCTCAAAGAAAACCATTAGTAACACACTACGCCGTCATGGATTAAAATCCTGCAGCGCACGCAAGGTCCCCCTGCTCAAGCCAGCGCATGTCCAGGCCCGTCTGAAGTTTGCCAATGACCATCTGGATGATCCAGAGGAGGAATGGGAGAAGGTCATGTGGTCTGATGAGACAAAAATAGAGCTTTTTGGTCTAAACTCCACTCGCTGTGTTTGGAGGAAGAAGAAGGATGAGTACAACCACAAGAACACCATCCCAACAGTGAAGCATGGAGGTGGAAACATCATTCTTTGGGGATGCTTTTCTGCAAAGGGGACAGGACGACTGCACCGTATTGAGGGGAGGATGGATGGGGCCATGTATCGCGGGATCTTGGCCAACAACCTCCTTCCCTCAGTAAGAGCATTGAAGATGGGTCGTGGCTGGGTCTTCCAGCATGACAATGACCCGAAACACACAGCCAGGGCAACTAAGGAGTGGCTCCGTGAGAAGCATCTCAAGGTCCTGGAGTGGCCTAGCCAGTCTCCAGACCTGAACCCAATAGAAAATATTTGGAGGGAGCTGAAAGTCTGTATTGCCCAGCGACAGCACCGAAACCTGAAGGATCTGGAGAAGGTCTGTATGGAGGAGTGGGCCAAAATCCCTGCTGCAGTGTGTACAAACCTGGTCAAGACCTACAGGAAACGTATGATCTCTATAATTGCAAACAAAGGTTTCTGTACCAAATATTAAGTTCTGCTTTTCTGATGTATCAAATACTTATGTCATGCAATAAAATGCAAATTAATTACTTAAAAATCATACAATGTGATTTTCTGGATTTTTGTTTTAGATTCCGTCTCTCACAGTTGAAGTGTACCTGTGATAAAAATGACCTCTACATGCTTTGCAAGTAGGAAAACCTGCAAAATCGGCAGTGTATCAAATACTTGTTCTCCCCACTGTATATGGTGTGTATAGACAGTATTGACAGTATATGAATAGAAAAGGTGTGTACAGCAGTAGTTATATAGCATGAGCCTGGACTAGAATACAGTATATACATATAAATTGGGTAAAACCGTGTGGAAACATTATTAAAGTGACCAGTGTTCAATGACTCTATGTACATAGGGCAACAGTCTCTAAGGTTCCGGGTAGAGTACCGGGTGGTAGCCGGCTAGTGACAGTGTCTAAGGTTCAGGGCAGGGTACTGGGCGGAGGCCGGCTAGTGATGACTGTTTAACATTCTGATAGCCTGGAGATAGAAGCTGTTTTTCAGTCTCTCAGTCCCAGCTGTGATGCACCTGTACTGTCTCTGCCTTCTAGATGGTAGCAGGGTGAACAGGCCATGGCTCGGGTGGCTGAGGTCCTCGATGATCTTCTTGGCCTTCCTGTGAGACCAGGTGCTGTAGATGTCCAGGAGGGCAGGCAGTGTTCCTACGGCGATGCGTTGGGCTGATCGCATCACCCTCAGTAGAGCCCTGCGGTTGCAGGCGGTGCAGTTGCCGTACCAGGCGGTGATACAGCCAGACAGAATGCTCTCGAAGGTGCATCTGTAGAAGTTGGTGATGTTCTTAGGGGCCAAGGCGAATTTCTTCATCCTCCTGAAGTTGAAGAGGCGCTGTTTAAATTTGTTGTGCCTTCATCACCACATACAGTGCCTTCGGAAAGTATTCAGGCCCCTTGACTTTTTCCACAGTTTGTGACGTTACAGCCTTATTCTAAAATTGATTAAATAAATACAAATCCTCATCAATCTAGTCACAATACCCCATAATGACAAAGCAAAAACAGGTTTTTAGAAATTTTTGCAAATTTATTAAAAATAAAAAACTGAAATACCCGATTTACATAAGTATTCAGACACTTTGCTATGAGACTCGAAATTGAGCTCAGGTGCATCCTGTTTCCATTGACCATCCTTGAGATGTTTCTACAACTTGATTGGAGTCCTCCTGTGGTAAATTCAATTGATTGGACATGATTTGGAAAGGCACACACCTGTCTATATAAGGTCCCACAGTTGACAGTGCATGTCAGAGCAAAAA